TTTTGGTTCATTGTCTCAACTGTGTCAGCTGTTAAGTCTGTTCCTTGAATTAATTTTAATTTTTTACATTTTTTAGTAACAATTACTCTGTTCCTTTTAAGATCCATAATCATATGCTGTATAACATTTCTACCAATGATTGACCACACATAAGATGGAGGTCCCTTAAGAATATATTGCCTCGTGATATTGTAGCCATCTTACTTGGTACCCTCTGTAATATTTGCACAATGGTGCATGTCTCAAATCATATGCCATTAAGTGACACAACTGTATTTTGTCACTTTTTATGGTTTCTAGTTTGTTGCCGAGGTTTTTCTGTTTTGATAGTATCTTCAACATAGTAAGTAATTTAAAATCAATGCCTGATAAGTCCAATACTTGTAGTCCCTGTGGTTCTGTTTTTGTTATTGTTTCTTTGGCTTTTGGTCATCTTCTCTTGTCTCCTCGTGTTCTAATTGTATGCTGGGCATTGTATATGGAATTTTATTTGAGAAATCATTTGAAATGATACATTTCATAAAGGATTGTGTGTGTTTGTGTTTGTGTGTGTGTGTATGTGTATTTTCATTTGCTTGAGAGAACCCAGGATTACTTAATCAAATCACACCGTTCCTGGGTCAGCCACATGACTCAAGATCATACAAGATCATATTACATTCAGTGTATGGACTGATTCATTTTTAGTTTACCCTTATTTCTGAGGTCTTCAAGGATTCCAGCCTGAAGATGGGAGAAGGGGCTTTTTCCCCTTTGTCCCTCTGGTCTGTCAGACTGGCTGTGTTGGCAGCTTTTCATTGCTGTGACTAAAATACTTGACAAGAACAACTTAAAGGAGGAAAGATTTACTTTGACTCAGAGTTTGAGAAGTTTCAGTCTTTGTCAGTCTGCCAGTCTGTTCCATTGCTCTGGGCCTGAGGTGAGACAGAACATTACTGTGGAACAGGATGGCAGAGGAAAGCTGTCAGCTATGGCAGTCTGGGGGTGGGAGCAAGGAATAAGTTTTATCCCCAGTGACACACTCTTAGTGACCTACTTCCTCCAACCACACCCCATCTGCCTATAGTTTCCACCATTTCCTAGTTGTCCATTCAGCTGTCAGTGTATTAATCCACACGTGTGTTCAGAACTCTCATGATCCACTCACTGCCCATATTACCCACCTCTGGACATTGTTGCACTGGGGACCAAGTAAGTCCTCAACATACGAACTTTTGAGGGACATTCAAGAGCCCAACTGTCAGATACATTTGAACCTCTGACTTCCTCTTTTAGATTGCTGAGCTTACCTTTTTGAATTTCAGTCCTTTAATGAATCTGAAAGCACTGTCCTGTTAATTCTTTGACCCTTTGAAGAAAGTCATTACTTACATTTTGTCCAACTCTGTTACTTATCTCAATGGGAGGGTTGATTCAAATTACCTCATATTCTATAACCAAGGTAGGGAGGCTTCTTGTTGGCTCTTTATGGGCAGAATTTATTTACAATGGCAGTGACTTTATCGCTCTTTTTTAAGACCTGAGACTTGTTCCCTAGTTCCATATGTGCTTTGTTTTAAAGAGTTTATTTACTCGTGTAATTATGTACATTTTTATTTAAAAGCTACATATTCTGTATATTTATATAAATGTAAGTACATTATTTTGTGATTAGTCAGCAACATTTTGAGCCTCTATAACCTTGGATAATTTTTAGACCTTAACCAATGGGTAAATTTACTGAAATGTCAGTTACAGTGGTCTAAAATGATTCTCATAATATGAAATATCTCTTAATTGCTATTGAAATTAGTATGCATAATATCAACTAAGTTTCCCCCCTCTAATTGAAAAGAATATTTTTTTAGTTATCTGTTTACCCTTATGACTTCTTAGTATACTTGTATGTGGGTATAATATATATCTGCCCTTGTGAAATAGAAGAAAGAGGCAGTTCTGATGAGATTCTTAAATTTGCTGCCGTATGAGAGCTCTCAACCTAATGAATAAATATGGTACATTATCAGTTATAAACTTTTTCATTTTATGTAAATTAATTCCCATAGGAGCCTCTGAAGTAAGTATGTGATAATTAGGTGTGGTTTTAAGCAAAGGATTAGGAAACAGGGCCTGAGAGCTTAAGTAACTTTCTTGTTGTCCCACACCTGGCGAATTGTGTATGTTCTTTGTCTATTATTATTATTACACATTTTATTTCAGCTATAATGGCCTACAGACGCTCACTGACTCCAAGTTTTATCGTTCTATGCTTTCTTCTTTCTGTAAACCATGTATCATGACCCCATGACTCATGTCCTAAAGATAGAGACAATTGGGAGAATATTTCTTCATATCCCATTCTCACTGTCCCCCACCACACCTCATTTCTAGAACATAGTCCCACTGGCTCTGAATTTGTCAACCTCTGCCCTGTTTGAAAGCTTGCTTTGTCACAAGTCTTCTTTCATCCCTACATGTATAGTTCCCTTTCCTCTCTTCAGATATGCCTCCATTTTCCAGTTCCAACAAAATTGCCTCTTTTTTATCTAATGCATTTTCTGTCTTTTATGATTAATGTCATACTTCTTTACTAACTTCATTCCTGGATACCTTCTGTAAGTCTTTGTTTTTTGCTTCTTCAATCACTCTTGATGAAATCCTAACCAAAATCTTGTTAGCTCTGTCCTTCTTAGTCTTAGGGCCAAAAGCTGACCCACCTCAGACCCCTTTCCCAGCAATAGAGTCTGTGCTCCTGTACATTCTTGTTTTCAACATTCTTGCTACTCCTTTGAATGATAGCCTCAAAGAGTTAGTTATCTTACATTAGACCTGTGACGTCAAATGCCCTTATTTAATTTGGAGCATATTCAGTTACTACATGTTTTGGGGTATAAGAATGCCTCCTCCTAAAATTTAGTATCACTCCATTTTTTTCTTGAGAACTATTTCCTTTATCCCTAAGGATTCTTTTGTTTTGAAAGTTCATTCATCAGATTTTTCCCCTGTCCTACTCACAAATCTGTCCTGCCTTGAAATGTTGATAGAACTGAATTTCCTCATGTAGGACATTTGTATCTTCACTCTTTTTATTGTTTAATCTCTCATCTTTTCTTTTGTCTGTTTTATTTTTGTTCAGTAAGCTTGTTTTACTGAATCTGTCACTACCTTTGTGAACTTTCTCATCAGGATTCCAGAAAGTGCACTTCTTCACCAGCTCAAGAGATGGTTCAAGACCGGGCATGGCCTTCATACTTCTTGCTTTATCACTTACTGTAGTTTTCAATAAATATTTAAATAAAATAGTGTTGGTATTTTAAAGGTTTTTAACCTCTGGACTGGCTGAAGAACCCTCTTAGTAGCTTTATATCTCTAGCAAATATTTTGAATATACTACTTTTTTCTCCTTAAAGGACTATAGTGTCTTCTAGTTCATTACTTTTAACTTTGTGAGCATTCCAAATATACACAAATAAAAAGTTCACTGAACTTCTGATGTTGTGGTTATCAACAGTTCACTACTTGTTTCATCATCTCCTTACTCCTTTACTTTTGCTGAGAATTTAAAGCATATCTAAGATATAATTTCACCTCTAAATTAATATGCCTCTAAAACAAAACATTTTTACATAACTGTAGTGTTCTTATCATCCACAGCGCGTCTAATAATAATTCCTTAATAACATAGACAACACTTCAGTCCGTATTCAAGTTCCCTCAGTTAAATCTCTCTTTATTCTCTTGTAAACTATACCAACCCTCTCTGCTTTTATTCATGCTCACATGTCCATTCTTGGGGTGTGTTAACTTGTTCCTTTATCCTTTGTATTTTATGTGGACTGACAATTAGAACTATATGCTTAATTACTTTCAGATTATACTTTCTTAGGGGAATAAATAAGAGTACTTGCTGTCATTTCATATTATGTCTCATCCAGAGGCATGTAATGTCTGATCATTTCACTTTTTGAATATTGCCATGATTTATCAGAGGGTTCAGGTGGACAGCTTGATCTTTTCATGAAGCTTAACTTTTCACTTAGTGTTCTTATTATTTATTGATTATGAGTAAGTGAATTAGTTACCTAATTAAAGTTTGCGAAGTTGTGATTATTCTAATTTGCTCACTTCTGGCATTATTAGCTGAATTTTTTCTAGATGGTAGAATTTTTTTTTTCCTTTTTCACTAGGGCTATTTGGTTAACATGAAATATCTAGTCAGTTCTTGAGCTATTAAAATCCCTAATTGGGAAACTGAAGACTGCTTTCCTCTTTGTAAACTAAAATGGTATTAGTTTATTTATGATTATAACAAATTAGCTTTTTTCCTTTTTCAGGGAGTTAAAGTCATTCCTGAGTGGTAGATTAGTGATTTAGTGGGCCAAATTATGGGAGAGTCTCCCAGTCCTGAGTGAGCAATTGTCATTCTCTTGAGGCATAGGATAGCAGAGAAAATAACAGTAAGAAAAGATGGTATAACTTTTTTAATGCTACTGGCTTGCAGTGAGGGTGTGGTACTTGCTTGAAGTGTGGGAATTTAAAAAGTCCTGTGCTTAACCAGAGACAAGTCAGTCTCATTGTGGAGTCATTTAAATTTTAAAGACCTAGGGCCCTAAAAAGGGCTCCAGCACAGTTTTGTAATCGAACTCATTAAATTTTAATGACTAGTATATCTTGGGAAGCTGCAGGGACCCCTGATGATTTGCCAGGGATATAACTAAAGCTCCTCTTGCTAGCTTTCTCTAAAGGCAGAATTTCAGCAAACCTTTATTGTGCCCTCTGCCATTTGGAGCTCTGCCTTAGGCATTAGAGGTGACTGAGAGGGAAGCAGGGTGGCTCAGGCAGCCAGGATAATTTTATCTTAGCATTGATTAAATATAAACTTCATTCACTGAAATTTCATGTAGGAAAATGACTGCTTGCATTTTAATGACCTTTTATTTGTACAGTGTATCACTTGCTCATGCTTTCATTTTTAAACTGTTCATAGTTGGAATCTAAAATCTTTAGTTTTCATTTTTTAGGACCGTGTCTTCAGGTTTTCTTCACTTCATCGTGAATTGTAGCACATCAGACTACACAAGGTGTCTTAGTTGAAGTTTCATCAGTTGTAAAATTAGAGGTAAGAAATGTATATATGTCTTTTTTGAAAACGAATGTATGTTGCTGATAACAAGTTTCATGTTTACACCCCTCCACTGTCTAGTCTTCTCCCCTCCGTTTACTCAAGAGTAAGAGAAAAAGATGATGTCCATGCAATTTCTTTTTTTTTTTGCCTTTAATTTTTATTGTTGGTTGTTCAAAACATTGCATAGTTCTTGACATATCATCTTTCACACTTTGATTCAAGTGGGTTATGAACTCCCATTTTTACCCCGTATACAGATTGCAGCATCACATCGGTTACACATCCATTGATTTACATATTGCTATACTAGTGTCTGTTGTATTCTGCTGCCTTTCCTATCCTCTACTATCCCCCATCCCCTCCCCTCCCATCTTCTCTCTCTACCCCATCTACTGTAATTCATTTCTCCCCCTTGTTTTTCCCCCCTTTCCCCTCACTTCCTCTTGTATGTAATTTTGTATAACCATGAGGGTCTCCTTCCATTTCCATGCAATTTCCCTTCTCTTTCCTTTTCCCTCCCACCTCTCTCCCCTGTTTAATGTTAATCTTCTTCTCATGCTCTTCCTCCTAACTCTGTTCTTAGTTACTCTCCTTATATCAAAGAAAACATTTGGCATTTGTTTTTTAGGGATTGGCTAGCTTCACTTAGCATAATCTGTTCTAATTCCATCCATTTCCCTGCAAATTCTATGATTTTGTCATTTTTTAATGCAGAGTAATACTCCATTGTGTATAAATGCCACATTTTTTTTATCCATTCGTCTATTGAAGGGCATCTAGGTTGGTTCCACAGTCTTGCTATTGTGAATTGTGCTGCTATGAACATCGATGTAGCAGTGTCCCTGTAGCATGCTCTTTTCAGGTCTTTAGGGAATAGACCAAGAAGGGGAATAGCTGGGTCAAATGGTGGTTCCATTCCCAGCTTTCCAAGAAATCTCCATACTGCTTTCCAAATTGGCTGCACCAATTTGCAGTCCCACCAGCAGTGTACAAGTGTACCCTTTTCCCCACATCCTCGCCAGCACTTGTTGTTTGACTTCATAATGGCTGCCAATCTTACTGGAGTGAGATGGTATCTTAGGGTGGTTTTGATTTGCATTTCTCTGACTGCTAGAGATGGTGAGCATTTTTTCATGTACTTATTGATTGATTGTATGTCCTCCTCTGAGAAGTGTCTGTTCAGGTCCTTGGCCCATTTGTTGATTGGGTTATTTGTTTTCTTATTGTTCAATTTTTTGAGTTCTTTGTATACTCTGGATATTAGGGCTCTATCTGAAGTGTGAGGAGTAAAGATTTGTTCCCAGGATGTAGGCTCCCTATTTACCTCTCTTATTGTTTCATTTGCTGAGAAAAAACTTTTTAGTTTGAGTAAGTCCCATTTGTTGATTCTAGTTATTAACTCTTGTGCTATGGGTGTCCTATTGAGGAATTTGGAGCCCGACCCCACAGTATGTACATCGCGTAGTCAACTTTTTCTTGTATCACATGGATCATGCAATTTCATTTGTGTAGATAATAGGCCTTAAATCAGGATGCTAAGCAGCTGCTACTCACTCTTTAGCAGTAGGAGGTACAAGTTCTTTTGATAGTTCATTTGCTATTAGAAACCTCACCAGAGAATGGAAGGTAATTTAGCAGTTGGTTTTGAATAAAAGAGGCTAATCCTGCCCAGAGACCAGATCCCTTATTGGTTGGAGCAGTGGATCTTGAAAGATATCCCCCAATAAATAGCTATCCCCCCACCAAAAATAACTGCACATGTGTGTATATGCAGATTTTCCAGCTTCCTAGTTTGTTTTTTGTTTGTTTTGTTTTGTTTTGTTTTGTTTGTGGTGCTGGAGATTGAATCCAGGACCTCATGCATTCTAGGTAAATGCTCTACCATTGAGTTACATTCCCAGCCCTTTTTATTTTGAAACAGTGTCTCATTAAGTTGCCCAGGCTAACCTCAAATTTGTGATCCGCCTGCCTCACCTTCCCAAGTAGCAGGGATTACAGATATGTGCCACAGTGCCTCGCCCAGCTTCCTAGTACTTTTTGTAATTTTTTAATTCTCAAATTTATGTTCAATATCTAAATTGAACAGATGGTTAATCTACTGTTATTATGAACAAATAAGGGCATTGTAATGATAGTTCTTGCTTTGGGCCATTGGCAGATCTGTATCAAGAAAGACTGAGAATATAGACTTTGATTTCTAGATAGTGTGTTTTTCCACCTTATGAAAATGTTCCTGCTCTTTTAAATGTCTATGTCCTAGATTATTAACACACATTGGTGCTTGTTGTAAATTAAGCACTGGACAAGATGTTATGTGGCCTGTTCAGTTCATCTTTTTAGCAAGTTTACAAACCTTACTAGCCTTCAGTTATCTTATTGTATAAAACAGAGGTTTACATTGGGATTGGGCTCAGGGTTTTCTAGCTTTAGCACTTTTGACATCTTGCGCCTGGTAATTCTTTGTCAACAGGGACTACGGACTTTAGGAGCATCCTTGGCCTCTTCCCACCAGATGTCAATAGAACCACTCTCCAGTATGACAACCACAAATGGCTCTAGACATTGGCAAATGTCCTTTATAGGGCAAAATCATCCTGGATTGAGAACCACTGGGTTAAATGATGTATTAGAGTTCCTTGCAGCTTCATAATTCTGTTGTTTTTATTAAAACAAAAACAAAACCTTCTCTTTGCAATCCAGCTTAGATGTCATCTCTTCCATGAAGTTTTCCTCAGATTGCTTCCTCTTTGTCCTACCTTAATTCTTTTTTGAGTACTTATAGAATTTAACACCACTCTTCTATAACTACTAGTGTGTTTCTCTCATTTTAGGGCATGGGTCTCCTGTATTTCTCAGCTCAGATTTTATTATGAACAGTGAATTCAGGAATATCATCAGATTAGAAATTGTTAAGTAAATGGTTTCAAATGGCATTTTTGTTAATCTTTCAAACACTTCCACTAGGAAATTGCCACCAAATTTGAATTTCTGGGTTAATGAAACCAATTACCCACTTTTTTGATTTTTTTAGATAGATTAGCTGACAGGAGCTTCCTATATGTATGTGAGAGATCTACACAAACACATCTAGACTGAGAGAAAGAAAGTCACACAAAAATTCATAACAGAGTTGAGCTGTTTCAGTTTTTTATATCTAGAGGGCTCTAAAATAATTCTACTTTATTAATTACTTAGCTTCCATCTACTCAGAAATAAGTAAACAGGAAAGGTAGTAAATATTTTTTGTGGTTTTTTTTTACATACCTGTCACCTTACATTATTCCTCACCATATTCTAAATATTTCTCAAAGCAACCCAGAGTAGTAATACATTTTAACCATGGTCTAGTGCATATGCATATACCTGAAACAAGATTTTTAAATTAGTATTTATCGTTACTATGTATGTAACATTTTGATGCTCTTTTGTTTCTTTCCTTTTTTTTCTTAAAGAGTGGGCATCAGGGCTGGGGATGTGGCTCAAGCGGTAGCGCGCTCACCTGGCATGCTTGCAGCCAGGGTTCAATCCTCAGCACCACATACAAACAAAGATGTTGTGTCCACCGAGAACTAAAAAATAAATATTAAAAATTCTCTCTCTCTCTCTCTCTCTCTCTCTCTCTCTCTCTCTCTCTCTTTAAAAAAAGAGTGGGCATCATCAGTAAATTTATTATATAATTTAGTAAAAGGTCACAACCCAGCATTTGAAAAACATTAAGTAATAAAATGTAGAGATGATCTACCTCTGGTTTATGTCACTAATAGGTTGTCCTTTCTTTTTAAATAATGTCACTTAAGAATTGACCCAACAAAGATATTGTAACACCTTAACCAGAACAAATTACATTTCCAATTAAAGTCCTATATTTTGTCATTTATTTTGAGTATTTAGTATGTACAAGGTAATGTCGTCAAAAGAGTATATTTGGTTCTTGTTCTCAAGATTTATGTTGATAAAACCTAGAGGAAATTAAGTTAATAAATATATTGTTTCAAGTCCTAAAAGAGGTAATAAATACAAAGTGATCTTTATAGGTGTTAAGAAAGGGAGAAAGCTGTGCTAATTGAGGTTCATGATAGAAAAATAACATGATTGTGTGATAGATTTTGCATTGTCATATCAGAAAGTGGAAAAAGATATTATGCATGGTAGAAACAGTATTCAGATAGGTGTGCAGTACTTTTGTCTCATACTTGAAGTTTATTTTTTGTATAATAGGATAAAGTGAGAAGTTAACAAATACTAAAAAGGTATATAAAATGCTGAAAATATAGGTTATAAACAGGGTATGTAATTTTAGCTCTATGGTGGTTGTAACATGAAGTTTACCCAGTAGATTAGTTAGAAACTTGTATGCATGATAGCTCTGATATAAGCCAATATTTACCCTAAAATGATAACATTAATATTGAATTACTAGGTTTACTGAGATTGCAGATAACCTCCAAATGGTGGAGGGAGTATGCCCATCTTTCAAAATAAGTGAATAATTTTACTATTCTATATAAATTGCTTTTCACGGGACAAAAACAATTTGTATAGTATTCAGCCTTTAAAAAATGTTATATACTATTTCACCTATGCAATTACAAACTATGTGCTTATGTCATAGGCTCAGGCATAATCATTTGTAAATAGAATAGGAGGCTCAGCATGTAAGTTACAACCAAATGCCATAAAAACCTTGAGAAAATAAGCAGTAGACTATGTTTTTGCCTTTTTGATCTGTGACTTTCTTCTATGGAGTATATAAAATTTAATTACTATGGAAGATTTTTTTTGGGGGGGGGGCTGTGAATTGAACCCAGGGCTTTGTGCATGCAAGGCAAGCACTCTACCACTGAGCTATGTCCCCAACCCCACTATAGAAGATATTTTTGATCTAAAATGATCTAAAAGAAAAGTGGAAGATTTCGCTTATGATGATACTTGGGAAAGAGCCACCAGCCATAAAAGTGTGGTCTAGCATTCTGTCTGCTGTTACTTTAAGGCACCAGAACTTTACTAGTTTTTGTCATTTTCCATATTGAGTTGGGAAATTAACAAAAAGATAATTATCTTTTCATTTTTGCAGATTTGTAGACTACTGAAAAGAAGGCATTTTCAGAGCCAGAGATGTGAACTTAAAAACTCCTGGGCCAGGGTTCACAGACCATATTGAGGTATTTTTTTCTTCCTAATTTTAAACACTTTTTTAAGTAACAGTTTTATTTTTACAGCAAAATTGAGAAACTGGTATGGAGAGTCCCCATAGATCCTATACATAATTCCCAGTATTATTAATACCCTATGTTAGCTTGATGCATTTGTTACAATTAATGAACCAATACTAAACTATTTTAATTAACTAAAATCTATATTATTTGGATTTTCTTAGTTTTTAATCTGATATTTTTTGGTGTGTTTCAAGATTACATGTAGGAAACCACATCACATTTGGTTATTATGTCTCCTTAGGCTTCTCTTGGCTGTGACACTTTCTTAACTTTCCTTGTTTTTAATGACCTGGACAGTTTTGAGGAGTACTGATCAGGCATTTTTAAGAATATGCCTCAGATGGGATTACTTAGATGTTTTTCTCATGGTTAGAATAGAGTTATGGATTTTTGAGAAGACCACAAGATTAAGTGCCTTTTGACATTCTTATCCCATCACATCCAAAGTACATACTAACAACAGTGCACATTAAGAAGTGGGAAGGTATGCTCCTCTTCCTTGGGTAAATGATCCACATAAATTATTTGGAATACTTCAGTGTCAAGAGAGAGATTCATCTTCCACCTGCCCATTTACTTAACCATTTTTTTATATCAGTATGGGTTTGTGGATATTTATTTTACAGCTTGAATTATAATCTAATACTATTTTATTTGTTTTGATGTTCCAGTTTTTCCCGCTTTGGCCATTGGGAGATCCTTCAGTTGTTTTGTCATGTCCCCATGAGCGTGGATTTTTTTTTAATTCTTTTTAGAAATACATGACAGTAGAATGCATTTTGACATATTATACATACATGAAGTATAACTTATTCTAACTATGATCCCATTCTTGTGGTTGAAATAATGTGTAGTTTTGTTTGAGTACTTCCATATTCTCTGGTACTACAAGATGCTTCAGGCTTATCTTGTATATTTCCTGACCCAGTTCTAGAATCAGCCATTTCTCTATAGGGCCCTGGTTCCTTTTATTAGAGAATGCTGTTAGAAAACTGGGGCATTGTTCCTTCTTGCCTTTCTTGGCTGGAATTCTGTGCGTTTGCTACCTACATATTTATGCATATCTATAAATATTTCTGTGTATAGGTTGCAATTGACAAATAAATATTCATTTGGGGTGGTGTTACAGTTAAATGATATCTGATTATGCTTCTGTTTCTTGGGGGTTATATTTAATTTGAAAATGTTTCAGTTCTATTTTAATATAAACATTATTTGGGTCTCATTTCTCTTTTTAGAATGTAACAATATGAGATAGATGTAGTGAATATTGTGATGATTTCAAAATGGTTTCCACTGTAATGAATATCCTATAAGATGATTGTTTTTGAAATTATTTGGAACGTTGCTGGGCATGGTGGCACACGCCTGTAATCCCAGTGGCTCGGGTGGCTGAGGCAGGAGGATCGAAAGTTCAAGGCCAGCCTCAGCAACTTGGGGAGGCCCTAAGCAACTTGGCAAGACCCTGTCTCAAAATAAAAAATTTTAAAAAGCTTGGGTGGGGCTCAGTGGTAGACGGCCCCTGGATTCAATCCCTAGTACCAAAAATATATATATATATATATATATATATATATATATATATATATATATATATATATATATTATTCAGAAGACTCATTTAGGGAAAATAGCAATTATTATTTCCTAACCTGTTGTTATTTGGTAGCACTCTTAATATATGAACAAAAAGTAATCTTGAAATTGGAACTCTAACCCTCTGTCAGTGAAAGCTTATGCTCCAGTATCAGCCACAGCTTGTTGCTATTTAACTGGAAAAATTCATAGTCTAGTACAAATATTCTTCTGTTTAAAAGCAAGGCTTGCTTTATCCTGTCTTTAATAGTTATGACATTGTCAGATTTTTACCAGGTAGCCAGCAGTACAAGAGAATAATGGTTAAAAGTTTAGACTTCAAGTTTGTGTTCTAACTTTGCTACTTGTTAACATTGTGACAGTAGGCAAATTTTTTTTACTGTCTCTGAGTCTCAAATTTCCTCACTTATATAATGTGAATGATATTATTAGCTCTCTCATGGGATTATTTTGGGGATAAAATGAGATAAAGCACTTAGCACCATTATTGGTATGTAAATATTATTTAGTTAATAGTATCTAAAATCAAATCCTCCGAAACAGGAAAACAATGGATAAAATTCAAAGCTTTATACTGGTATACATACTTGTTTTAGTTCAACAGTTATTACTGGGCTAGCCTAATCAGAAAAATGAATGGTTTTTTCATTTATTTATTCTTAAAAGTTCTTCAAAACAAGACACACTTCAAACCTGTGAGATGGCATCTCACCAATGTTAACATGATAGCAGTGATTATGAACTATTATTGCCATTAGGGGCTGCATGGGGCTTCTGGGATTTTATGGAAGGGGTCCGGGCAGCAAATTCCTTTCCTTGTCCTGAGACAATCTTTCATAATTATGCCCCAAATTATTGCCTCAATAGTATGTCTTTGGACACATTTGACTAAACTGATACTTACCATAGTGTCTTTAAACCTCTTTTAGAACACATTTCTGGTGTGACAGACCCAGCAGCTGTGTAAGTGAATGAAGCAAGGCCAGGCCTCAGTATCTAGGATCCCTAGGGAGTGTAAGAACTAGGCAAACTGGAGCTGATTTGGCCTTTCTAAAAGGGGAGTGGTACCCTAGCTTCAACAAGTTGTTGCCAGTAGTTGCTAGATGGTCTGAATTTTCAGAAAAAAGTAGATATCTAAATTTTTATGTGAAGTTTTCTTATTTTAAAATGTAGCTCAACTTTTTTTTTAAACACCACCAAGTCCAAACCAGGCAGATCTGTAGGCTGTGGGCTGGATTTGGCCCACAGACCATTGGTTTGCAACTTCTGATATAATTATTTTAGGAAGTGAGCTAAAATTCTGGCAGAGGTACAGCACTCTGAGCCGTAATGGCACCATCCTATGTATTTGCTGAGCTCAGAAAAGGCTGTAGAAACAAAGCACTTAACTGTCCACGTCATTTTCTCTCAAGTGTGGGGAATTGTGGTATCAGAGCAGACCTGTAGGGGAACTTCCTCTGTGGGTGGAGAAATTCTTTGGGGAGAAATCCTAGCAGCTGCATTTTCAGAAGCAGAGCCCTCTCTGCCTTGTGGTGCTAGTACTCCTGAATTAGGAGGTGGCTGCACAACTGACGGAAGCCTCCATGATGCCACTGCTGAGCCTAGTATCTGGTCCCTTCAGACATTGCCTTGCCTTCAAAAATTAGAGTCCCCACAAAGCTGACAAGCAATGATGGCTCAACCCTGCAGAATCTCTTGGTTCACTTGGCCCCGAACTATACGGTGATCGTAGGGCTTAAACCTTCAGTATTTCTTCTTTCTTGATCTAGGGTTACTGCCCACACAGCTCCACATTCCATCTGGGCTTCTTTGGTGGGGGTGTTTCAAGGGTGTCCCAGGAATTTGGTCACATTGGTGTAGATACTGTTTGAGTCCTCTGCCTAGTTTTAAAGTGTCAAACCATCATTCAATAGTTTTAATATTGGGTTAAAAATAGCCCACTTTAATGTTAAAGTCAGTGTGTATTTTTCATAGTAACTGGTGCATAAATTGATATTTATGGATAAGAATAGAGTGTGTGCTTTGATCTGCATTGTGGCCAGATCTGTACAACACTATATGACAGACAACAGTATTTTCATTTTAGTTGTTTTCTATGGGACTAAACACAAAAATATAGTATTTTACTGTAAAATGTTAAGTGTTTTTAAAGGAAGCTGACTTAACTTGTTGACTGGGATATTTTCTGTTTGTAAGCTGTTGACTTAACCTCTTTGTGCACAAAAGGGAAATCACTCTTTAAAACATTTTAATGTTATATAATGTTTAAGAAATTAAGTTTATTTGAGTGTTATAATGTACTATGAAATATTAAATGATTATCCACGTCAATCAGTGCTTATGTGAGTGAATGTAGAGGGCAAAGTGCCAAAAATAAGATTACATACATAATCCCTTAAGGAAAATATCTTTATCAATTTTTGTAGGGAGGGTACTGGGGATTTAGCCTAAGGGCTTTACCACTGGGCAACATCCTTTGCCCTTTTTATTTTATATTTTGAGACTTGGATTTGAGTGTCTTACTAAGTCGCTTAGGGTCTCTCTGAGTTGCTGAAGCTGGCCTTAAACTCACAATCCTCCTGTCCCAGCCTCCCAAGTTGCTGGGATTATAGGCATGTGCCACCACCCATGGCTCTTTATCAGTTTAGATCCTATTTGTTGTGAAAAGTCAGCCTACTATTAATCATCTTTTCAGATAGTAATCATCTTATGGGTGTGCAAGTTGTTGGCTTTGATTTGAAAGATTCTTTAATATGATTTTTCAAATGTACATATAAGGTAACTTGTTCCCTTTATAACTGTTTTTTGTGTGTCCTGAAAAAGCTAAATTTATTTGTTAAAGAATTCCTTCCCCCTCTCAACCCTCCACCTCCTCACATACCTATAACTCTTTATTTGGATGATAAACCAATGAGGGTTTGCTGTGTTTTTTTTACCCTGCCAGTGAAAGAAAGGCACTCAATTATTGGGAATGTGTCTTGAGGATGTCCTTGGTATCTATCTACCAGTGAGTGATGTAGGGAAGACTGCAGACTTTGAAAAAGACAGGCTTGGATTTGAGTCAAGAGTCTGCCATCTGCTCATTCTTTGAGTTCATTTTCTTATTTGTAAATTGGACATAATCATATGCTACTAATGACATAGTGGTTTAGTAAATGGTAGCTAATAATAGTGATAAAATTAACAGTAACTTTGGCCTTGGTGTAGTGCCTGAGATCTCTGGAGGCTGACAAAACTATCTAAGAACCAGTAGCTCCCAGTAGCTCTGAGATATACAAAGCCTATGCTTTTGACATCTGAAACTTCTCTGTCCTTGTTGACTCTTGTCATCTTTTCTTCTATCTGATAAAAAGACAATTATATTGTCCTTGTATTAAAGGCTTTTGGGGTTGGGAAATTTTTTGGTGCCACTAGGAAATCTCAAGTTAAGACTTTGGGTACATGAGAAGCTCTTTACTGAAGCTTTGATTAAGTTGCTATGAGGTATTCTGAATATGGTCAGAACCTCAAATGTTAGGGATCATTTCCTGGTAGGGAAGTTATTTCTGTAAATACAAGTAGATTTGATTAGTCATTCTTGTTACTGATTTTTTTTTTCATTTCACCTAATGAATATATATTGAATACCTGGTCTGTGCTAGGTCCTATGCCTCGTCGTTTGTATACCCTCAAAGGAGATACAAGTTAAATATCCCTTATTCAAAGTGCTTGGAACCAAAGGTATTCCAGAGGTCATATTTTTTTAGATTTGAGAATATTTGCATAGGCTTTTTTGGTTGAATATCCCTAATATGAAAATCTGAAATGTTCCAAAACCCAAAAATATTTTGAACATTGCGTTGGTGCTCAAAAAGTTTCAGATTTTGGAACATTTTAGATTTTGGACCTTTGGATTTGGAATGCTCCACCTATATTGAATTAAGGAATCCAAGAGTTGTCTTAGTTTCTCATTTAAATGAAGATCCTAAAATTTTAGAGCCGTACTCTCTGGTACAATAGTTACTAACCATAGATGGGTACTGAGCATTGAAAAATGTGAACAGTCTGAACTGAGGTGTGCTATTAGCATAAAATATACACTGGATTTCAAGGACTTAGTTTTACAAAAATAATGTAAAATATCAATAATTGTTATATTGATTACATGTTAAGACATTATTTTTATATACTAGCTTTAAATTATTTTTACCTATTTGTTTTTATGTTTTAATGTAGTCACTAGAGCATTTAAAATTGCTTTATATTTTTATTGGACAGTGTTGCCTTAGAGCTTCAGTGACTTGGCAAGTGTACTTATCTAGCTGAGATTCCTTTGGTTAGTGTAAATTATAGATTGCTTTATTGTGAAAGTGGCAGGCAGTGTTTGTTTTGATCAAAAAGGTCAATTATTAGGTGGTATTCATGTGTAAACACAGTAACTTGGGAGGCTGAGGCAGGAGGATTGCAAGTTCAAGGTCAGCCTCGGCAGCTGAGAGAGACCCTCAGCAATTTTAGCAAGACCCACTCTCAAAAAAATAAAAAGTACAGGGCTGGAGTTGTGGCCCAGTGGTAGAGCACTTGCCTAGCACACGTGCGGCACTTGGTTCAATCCTCAGCACCACATAAAAATAAATACAATAAAAAGTTATTTAAAAAATAAATAAAAATTAAAAGTACAGGGGATGAAGCTCAGTGCTAAAGTACCCCTGGGTTCAATTCCTAGTACCTCCTCCCCTCCAAAAAAAAAGAGGATTATTAAAACCCTGTTTCAGAAAAAAAAAGTTAAATAATTACTTAGGGCTTTGAAATAATTTGCATTTTAAATTAAAGCCTAGATGATTAATCTAGTAGAATCCCAGCATTTCAGATTTGGAATACTTTTGAAAGGGGCAAACTGGGAAAATGTACCCATTGATATAGTGGCCAGAACTTATTTTTCTTTTTCCTAAGTATTTACAGTTTGCTGTACATAAGTGATCTGTGCTCCCCCAGTGTTTGTGAAGGGTTGGGTGGGGGACAAGTTAGGAAGGTCAGGCATGGTGGTGCATGCCTATAATCCCAGCAGCTTGGGAGACTGAGATAGGAGGATCGGTTGCCTCAGCAACTTAGCAAGAACTTGTCTCTAAATAAAATATAAAAAGGGCTGGGGGTGTGGCTCAGTGGTTAAGGCTCCTGGGTTCAATTCCTGGTCCCCCCTCAAAGAAAAAAAAATATATATATATATTTCTAAATACAAATAATGTTTTATCAGGATAGTTTAGTACAGTCAATTCATCTTTTAATGTATTTGAGCAGATATTGGGGTTGGGCTGTGGAAATGCAGTAGTGAATGAAGCATGGATCTTGAAAAGACTACAGGCTTTTTTTTGGTATTTGGGTTTTGTTTTCATCTTTTTGTTTTTACTTTTTATTTGTAAGTAATTTGAAACTCACAGAAATTGCAAAAATAAAAGTACAAAGAATACTGTGTAGCTTTTACCTAGATGCACATGTCAAAACGTTTCCCTGTTTGCTTTATAGTTCGTTTCTTCTCTGTGTGTATATATGTATATATGCACGTTTGAGTCTGCACACATATATAAGATATATATTTTTCCTAACCTATTTGAGAATAAGTTGTATACCCTTTATCTCTAAAAGCTTCATTGTCTAATTCCTAAAATTAGGAATATTCCTGTATGCAGCCACAACAGTTATCAATTCAGTACACTTAGTACATTCAATGTGAGTAGAATACTTGTAATATAACATCCATATTTCATTTTTGTCTGTTGATCCGTTTTTTGTATGACATCTTTCCTGAACCTTAAGATTCAATTTAGGATCAGGTTAGTTTTAGTTGTCACGGTTTTGTTATTTTAACTTGGGACATTTTTCTGGCCTTTGTCATATATGACATTGGCATTTTTGAAGACAACATTACCCAACACCCCCCCCCCCCGCCGCCGCCCTCAATAACACACACATCCAGCACTGGGGATTGAACCCAGTGGTGCTCTACTACTGCGTTTTTATCTCCAGCCCTCTTTTATTTTGAGATAGGGTCTGGCTAAATTGCTAAGACTGGCCTCAAACTTTTGATCCTCCTGCCTTAACCTCCCAACGAGGTAGGATTACAGGTGTGTGCCACCACACCTTGCTCCTCCCCCCTTTTAAAAATAGAACATTTCTCTTTGGATTTGTCAGTTTCTTCATGAGTAGTTTTAGGTTATACGTTCCTGACTGGAATACTATAAAGTGATGTATCTTTTTGAGGATGTCACATCTGGAAGTATATACTGTCTATCTGGCCCTCATTGGCAATATTTCATTTTGATCACACAGGCCTGGTGTTGTTCAGTTTATCCACTAGATAATTACATTCACTCCCTTCCAATTAACAAGCTTTGGAAAAACACTTGTGAGATCATGCATAATATATTCTATTCTTCATCCAAATTTCCCCGAGATTTAGCATCCATTGATGGATAATACTTACTTGAAGCAGTCTATACTGTGATGGCTGCAAAATGATTTTTTCTGCTGCAGCATTCTGCACATTTACCACTTGGATTCTACTGTCAGTAGGAATCCTCCCTTCTCTTCCATATATATACATACATACACACACACACACACACACACACACACCTATTATTTAACTATCTTTGGTATGAACTTATGGAGTCCTCTTTTCCACAGACATACAATTCATTACTGTTCTTTATTTTGTTGTCCAAATTCTTACAGGTTTGACTGTTGGGAGCCTCTTCAGGCTGTCTTCCATTCCTTTTCACATGCTCTCATCATTTTTTGATTACTTCCCTACTCTCTGGCATAATAGCATGGTCCAGAAGATGCTGAAGTTTTATATGAGAGATTCTTAGGTATTCAGTTAGTTTTAGGCTAGTATGAGGGTAAGCACATCCTGCAGTGGTAGCACAGAAGGCTTTCTAGCTAATGTAGGCATGGCAGCAGGACTGGATGGCAGGATGTCAATGGGAGCCTCCTTAGAGGAGGTTATACCACAGTTGACAAGTACAGGACCAGCAGGACTTGGAGAAATAGGGTGGTTGGGAGGGAAGATAGAAAACATTTCTGGCAGATGTCCCGTTGTGTCATCTGTGACTTTTCAGACATCAAAATAATTACTGTGCTTTAAAGGAGTGAAATAGCCCTTGGAAAAACATGAGTGATTATGCCTAAGTACATTCTCTCAAGGCTAAAATAATATGGTTGCCAAATAATAACACTACGTACTTTAAATCTAGCTGCTGATTATTTTTTTCACATTAAAATGAAGCTGAATTTTTTTAAGCCACTGACTGGTTATATTACATCAGCAGACTCTCTGGCTAAGTTGAATCCCTCAGTTTTCTAACCTTAAAATTAGATATACTTATCTTAGCATTTTTGATTTTTAAAATATTGATAACTGAATAAAGTAAAATATGTAGCTAGGCTTAACTGTATTTTAATTTCTTTTAATAGAAAATGACTGTGGTGTTGGAAGATCATTACTTTTGGAAAGCCGATTAGCATCAATTCCTAAGAGAAATTTGACCATCATTTGTTCTGGCATGGCGCAAAGCAGTCCACAGCTTGATATTCAGGTTCTCCATGATCTTCGGCAACGTTTTCCTGAAATTCCAGAGGGTGTGGTTTCTCAGTGCATGTTACAGGTAAATTTCCTGCCAGTGATACTGATTTTAAGTTAGTTTTTCCTAATTAGAGTTGGCTTTGTATTGTGGTAACAAACTTAAATTTTCAGGTGTGTGGGAGCAGGGGGCTAGGACAATTTGAGTGGGATTTCTCAATCTTGGCACTGTTGATATTTGGGGCTGAATAATTCTTTGTTATGGACGTCAGCTTTGTGCCCAGTAGGATGTTTAGCGGCCTCCCTGGCCTCTACCCACTAGGTATCAGTAGCTTCTCCATAGTTGTACCAACCAAAAATATCTCCAAGCATTGCTAAATGTGCCGTGAGAGGCAAAAATCTCTCCCATGGAGAACCGCTGATGTTGAGAAAAGAGTAAAGGCATGTACCAAAGAGAAAAAAATATTCTCTTTACATTTAACTTTTGAATTTTGGGGATGGAACCCAGACTTTCATGCATGCTAGGCAAGTACTCCACCCCCCGAGCTACAGCCCAACCCCTAAAATTGAATTTTGAATCTCAAATTTATCATGTTAACTTCTTTAGAAGTAGACTATACACTTCTGAGTCTTTCTTACCATTTTTCCGTTTGGTAAATCCTTAAACTAATATCTGATTTGAGGTGTAAATCCACTTTTAGTTCATAAGGATTTCCCTTGTCTTGTACTACAGGGACAAGTCTTCCCACTAAAGAGATAACAGAAAACAGGCCTGCTGCTTCCTCTGTTTTGTATCATTTTTCACAGGATCTTGGTGTGTTTGGGGTTATGGCACTTCCCGAATTCATTTACTTTGGGGAGCTGTTCTACCACTCTACCCATGGTCTTCTTCACATGGTAGTCAGTACTTATGTTCATACTACCTTACTGCAGTACAAGTAGCTGAGGATATAACCTAGCTATATACAGGGAAGTTTAGTTACAAATAGAGATGTACAGAATAATGGTGGTAACAGGTGCTTCCTTTGCAGACCCTTTACTAGGTCTAGCCCTTGGGCTTATGGTTTCTGTGTTACAGCTTGCCTTTTTGGTTTGGTTTGTTTTGGTACCAGGGATTAAACCCAGAGGCACTTTACCACTTAGCCTCATCCCCTTTTTATTTTGAGAGAGGGTCTTACTAAGTTGCTGAGGCTGGCCTTGAAATTAGAATCCTCCTGCCTCAGCCTCCTACTTCATGTCGCTTGGGATTGCAGGTGTACCACCATGCCCTGCTTGCCTTTGTTTTTTGTAACACACATTCCCAGTCTGAATCTCAGATCTTTAGCCCCATTTGGGTCTCTGGTAGAACAAAGGTACTTCCCACTGGACTAAAACCAAGCAGGAGAGAGTCTTCCACTTGAAAACACATCCAGGAATCACTTTCTTCACCCATTCTAGGGCCCCACTGAGTTCTGACCTTATTTTGTTTGGCCTTTGATTACATGCATTATTTTATGGTCACTTAACTGTACTGAAGGAATAGACCTTTGAAATTCTGTGTGGTGAACATTTGTTGATATTTACATTGTTCTAAGTCACTTTTTTTCTTCCTTTGGGATTAGTACAGTGTATCAGATTTACTACCTGCTGGCTCTAGAAAGTTTCTTCACTCTAAAACTGTGAAATTTAGAAGTTTGCATTTAAAACACAGGCCTTAAAACCTGTCTCAGGGCAGTCATTCTGATCTCTTTATCCAGCTGGACAATTTTGATTTAACCATTTATTAACTCTTTGACACTTTCACCCATTTTTCTTGTTTTATGACATTTAGCAAGTCCAATATGGCATTTTAATCTGTCTGGTGGTTTTAATAAAGAGGAAAATTTACTGTCACTGTAGGCATGTAATTGAATAAGTTGATAAATCCATTTTTATCAGTTTGAATTTGGATCCTTTTTGTAATGAGACTATTTAGAGGGCATAATTCATTATGTGGAAAGCATGCAATTTCAAGAGTATTAATAAAAATATCAAATAGTAAAATATGTTTCCCCATAATCCATAAGTTTATAAAAAGCTTGGAGATAACTGTGTTTTCATTTTTCAATTTTTTTCCTTTAACTCTGTCAGTGACACATTCTAGTTGGCAGTCCGAATCCTTTAGCTCCAAAATTATTTTTGATATCTAGCCCCTTTCTCTTGCTCAACAAGATTTCAAGGAGGATAAGAAAAAGTTAAATCTTTGTGTTCTTGTTTTCTTAACTGTCAACTAACACTTCTTTCTCTAGTATTTTTTAAAGCATTTGAAGTTTAATATCAAAAGCTTTATATAAGGAAAAGATCAAAATTAGATATGAAGTTTCAATGAAGCCAATTCTTTAAATTCCTGAGAATTTATTTTGCAAAAGTTTGCTTGACTGAATGTGTTGTTTCACTTCTAAAGCTCCAGTTTAGTAATATCCTTTTGGCCAAACAACCTCTCCCTTGGAATTACTGTGTGGAAAGAGCACTGAGGCTCAGGAGACCAGGAATCTAGACTAGGTCTCCAGTTAACTAGTTCAGTGCCTGTTGTTAAGCCATGGTAACTTCCCTCAGCCATCTCTTTCCTCATTTGTAAGTATGAGTTTGAGTAGATGAACTCGTGAGTTCACCCAATTCTAAGATTACTGTATTGTTGGTTCTGTTTTAGGTTTAACCTTATTTGCTTCATCAGAAGTGTTTAATTTTTTATATAAAATGTACTTCTCCTTAAATAAATATGTATGTGTATACATACATGTATGTATGTTTATGTTTGTGTGTATGTTTATGAGCTACATAGAAAGTCATAATTGGATTATGATGGATTATATAGATTTATCATATATAATGTTTTACTCTAATAGTTAAAAATTCTTTATTTTAATGGACAACTGCTTTATAATATCTTAAAGTTTTAAAAAAGGAGGCTTTATTACTTTGATTTCTGTTGATTAGAACTACTAAAATGTGAGTTTATTAGTACTATCTATGTGTATAACTAAGAAAATTCAAATCTTTGATTTTGAAAGTTTATCAAGTCACCTTTAGCAGATAGAAACTTGAGACAGCGGGAGTGTGAATGAATTTAAGGCAGTTGAGACCATTTTTGTTAAATTACCATCAACTCTGGCAAAGTCAGAGTCATGGTTCAAAATATGAAATTGTTTTTTTAACTGATCGTTTTGCTTTGCCTAAATCTTTACAGTGATAGAGGTTTAAATTATATAGGGATAAATTTGGGTAAAAGAAAAGCAAAAGGCTGCTTTAGAATTTTTGTTGTTTTTAACATTTCAGCAGTTTTATTATGTTTTATTCTTCAGTGTTTAGAGTACCTGTTAAAAACTAAAGAATGGTTTTCATTTTATCAATTTAACTATTAATGATGGATATTGCTTATACTTATATATTGCAGCAATTGTGGTGAATCCAAGATTAGCCCAACATTTTAATTTGTTGAGATGCAACAAGTGTAAAATGAGTCCTGGATTTGGAGTCAGAAAACTTGGGGTTGAGTCACAATGTTCATTAGTAGGTACTTTACATTTCTGTAGCAGTAGTAGTAGTGGTAGTACTAGTAATGTGAACTAAATGTTTATAAACTAATATGATTGATTTGGCATCTTCTTTTCAGGGTAGATGACCATCAAGTTTTTTTGTGTTTAAAATACTGTTCTCTACTTAACTCTATGACAGTAGTATAAAGCCTGATTTCCACTATTAAGATTCGTTAATTTTGCCAATGTTATTTTTACCATTTTTCTCCCCTAGAATAACAACAATCTTGAAGCCTGTTGCCGAGCCCTTTCCCAGGAGAGTAGCAAATACTTATATATGGAATACCATAGTCCAGATGACAATAGAATGAATAGAAATCGCCTTTTGCATATTAACCTGGGTATACATTCTCCTGGTAGCTACCACCCAGGAGATGGAGCTCAACTTAATGGTGGTCGAACACTGGTACATAGCTCAAGTGATGGACACATTGATCCACAGCATACAGCAGGTAAACAGTTGATTTGCTTAGTTCAGGAACCACACTCAGCTCCAGCTGTTGTGGCTGCTACTCCCAACTACAATCCATTTTTTATGAATGAACAGAACAGAAGTGCAGCTACTCCTCCTTCACAGCCACCTCAACAGCCATCTTCCCTGCAAACAGGAATGAATCCATCTGCTATGCAAGGGCCTTCACCGCCGCCGCCACCACCTCCTTCATACATGCACATACCTCGGTATAGTACAAATCCAATTACTGTTACAGTGTCCCAAAACCTCCCTTCTGGACAGACTGTACCAAGAGCTTTACAGATTCTTCCACAAATTCCAAGCAATCTCTATGGGTCTCCTGGTTCTATTTATATTAGACAGACATCTCAGAGTTCATCAGGAAGACAAACTCCTCAGAGTACGCCATGGCAGTCCTCACCACAAGGCCCAGTGCCTCATTATAGCCAACGTCCTTTACCTGTTTATCCACACCAACAGAACTATCAACCTTCACAGTATTCTCCCAAACAGCAGCAGATTCCCCAGTCTGCTTACCATTCACCTCCTCCTTCTCAGTGTCCTTCACCCTTCAGCTCTCCACAGCATCAAGTACAACCTTCCCAGTTGGGCCACCCAAGCTCCCATGTGTTTATGCCACCTAGTCCTTCAACTACTCCACCCCATCTATATCAACAAGGACCTCCTAGCTATCAGAAACAGGGAAGCCACTCAGTAGCCTATCTCCCATACACAGCATCTAGCTTACCCAAAGGTTCCATGAAGAAGATAGAAATTACAGTTGAACCTCCTCAAAGACCTGGGACAACAATTACTAGGAGTCCTTCACCCATCAGTAATCAACCCTCTCCTCGGAATCAGCATTCACTGTACACAGCCACCACGCCACCTTCAAGTTCTCCTTCAAGAGGGATGTCTAGTCAACCAAAACCTCCATTTAATGTTAATCCTGTGTATATTACATATACACAACCAACTGGACCTTCATGTGCTCCATCGCCATCTCCTCGGGTGATACCAAACCCAACTACAGTTTTTAAAATTACTGTAGGCCGAGCAACAACTGAAAATCTTTTAAATTTAGTGGACCAAGAAGAGCACTCTGCAGCACCAGAACCTATTCAGCCCATTTCAGTGATACCAGGCTCTGGGGGAGAAAAGGGAAGCCATAAATATCAGAGGAGCTCTAGTTCTGGATCAGATGACTATGCCTATACACAAGGTAAATTTTAGCCCTTTTTATAAAAGTTAATCTTTGTGGTAAAGTGGCAGTCTCCTATTTGAATAACACTCTGTTAGCTGGTTAGTTTTAATTAAATGTTTAATATTTATTAAATGTTGGGCAGTGACATTAATGCTTCAGAGTCATCTATACACTGTTTTAAAATATGAATGTATAGGTGTGAAAATTGTGACTTATTAACATTTTGTGTGGGAGAACATTCATTGGGGAAAAATACCAACCAGTGAAATAATAAGTGAAATGGATAGTCACAACTACAGAATAGGAAAAATAGATTCAGACAGGGTGGAGGGTGGACTGTAGTTCAAAGAATGTGAATCTTTTCTGAAGATGGTCTGAAGAGCATAACAGTACTGATAAGTAATATAAAAGAAGTGAAATTAGTAATGAAGAATATTATTGGAGTAGCTAAACCTATAGAAAATTGAGATTTTTAAAAATCTTAACTTTTAATATTTATTTTTTGGTTGTAACTGGACACAATATCTTTATTTATTTATTTTTATATGGTGCTGAGGATTGAACCCAGGGCCTCCCACGTGCTAGGCGAGCACTCTACCACTGGGCCACAATCCCAGACCCATGTTCAGATAGTTTTAAGAGAGGAGAATTTAGTACTTTTTAGTAATCTTGCAGTGGATGGGGAGTGATTATAATTCTAAGTTAGTTTGCCTGATATTAAGCCTTTTAAAACACAAGTCCAGTTAAAGAGAATCTTGTGGAAACTGAGGGATATCCTTAGGGAAATAAAAGATGAATGAACAAGACGGATGTGCAGGTGATGTATTTTGGTAGTTAAGAGCTAAATTAAAGCATTAGAGTAAATGCTGACCCCCAAGTTGGATGAGTGCTTTATACATTAGCAGTGCGTATAGAAATTTTCCAGTCACTTATTCAATGTTATTCTCTGCAATGACTTTATCTATAATGCTATAGCCTTGCTGTTACATCAGCGAGCAAGGATGGAGAGGTTAGCAAAGCAATTGAAAGTTGAGAAAGAGGAGCTAGAGCGGTTGAAGGCTGAAGTTAATGGTATGGAGCACGACCTGATGCAGAGACGCCTCAGAAGAGTCAGCTGCACCACTGCGATCCCCACGGTAAGTGATCTTGATAGGAAAGTGGCCATTTGTTTTTCTTTTAAGTTCTGTTCCTGACAGGTTTTTTTTTTTAAAACAATGGATGCAGGACTTGTCAGAATTATTTTTTTTCACATGTGCAAATAGGCTCATCAGTATTGTCAAAGACAGTTATAATCAAGGTATAGCATCTCATTTATTGCAAATTGCTTTCTGTTAAAATAGAAATATGCACCCTGATCAAAAGTTTTATAAATTATTCTCCATGTATTCATTTATTCTTCTAAGCAGAGGATATATATTTGTTCAAATAGTTAAATATGAATTTGGGGACAGTATTGACTATAGGATGTTTTAAGGCAAAGCAATTTCACCAAATGTAAGTCATTGTAGAAACTGAGATGACAGTATTGATTGATAGTGGTCCTTCAGGGAACTTCTCTAATGAAAATATTTGGGTATTTTCAACATGTTGGTTAATATATAGGAGTTCTAATGATCTCAAATAACTCCCAAAATTCTAAAGCACGTCTCCTAAAATCTTGGGACTCCACAAGCTTTCTGTGATCCAACCTATCATTTCACCTTTCAACATTCATGGATTCCAGTTTTTGCATTCAGCTTAGGAGTGTGGTGCTATGCTAGGTGCTTAGTGCATACCTGCCAATGGGAAAAATAGATAATTGTATTAATACATTGGGGTTAAGTGCCATATATGGTGCCGGGTTAATGAGAGAACACCTACATTATCTGGTTTGTCAGTATATTCTATGCACTTCTTTCCTCTCACATTATCCTCCTGGAATGACCCTTCTAAAATTTTGCATGTATAAATCCTGTAGTTCAAGGCTCACATAACTCTACCTTTTTCTGTGGAGCCTTTCCTCACTTTTCCTTCCCTCACTAAGTTTAGGGTTATCTCTCAGCTTATAGGTTCAAAGAAACAAGCATATATGTATCAGGCCTCTTATCAGCATAGCTATAGCTCCTTTCTCATAGAGAAAATTTTACTTGAGGTTCCCAGCTTCAAAGGGGATCTGTGAAATCCCTGAAATTAAGTGCACAGTTTCATATGTGTGATCATATGGGAGGTGGAAAAATAGCTTTCATCTGATTTTCATAAAATTATTAAAGGAAAAAAAAGGGTGAGAAACCACTGCCCTAAACAATTGCTAGTATTGCTATAGTCAGGGAGGAAAGGGGGAAGGCATTTTAAAAGGTAAAGAACACAAGATAATGAGGGCTTGAAGTCAAGACAGGGACTAATTTTCTCAAGGCAATAAATAGAGTTCCCTGGCTTAAGCTGATTTCTGATGAGTTTCCAAAGATGAATGTGCATAGAGGTATAATATGGTTTAGACCTTGAAAGCTGCATCAAGGCATTTGAATTTTATTCTGCTGGTAACAGGGAACCAGTAGAAGTATTTGAGGAAGGGGTTTTTGAGAATTAGGCATATTCAATAATTTAATCAGATTTTTTCTAATTTTGACTCTTCTCAGTTAACATTAGAAGGAAGAGTTTTCATTAAGCACTTGGAAAATTACAATGCTATCTTTTAACTAAAGGTGATGTTACTGTAAATTCAGTTTCTGCCTCATTTTCTCTATTTGAAAATCTTAATTGAGTCTTCTGGTTAGGAAAGTTATTGAAGTATAAAACCCATATGGGAATCTACTTAATGATGGTTGTGTACTTTGTAATTCTCTAGTTACCTGTACAGCATAAACAAATTAAGCATTTTCTTTAATCTTATAAACCTTGCTTATCAACTACTTGCTACATGATACCCTCTGCTAAATAAAACTATTTAAAAAAAATTGGAAGTCAGAAACTGTCTAATGTAACCTGGGTTCGTTCTTCAAAAAAAAGCACCCAGATTTTAGATTGGAGCTTTTATTGATGAGTCAGTTTCGAAAACCAAAAAAGATAAGTTGATAAAACTTCCCTGACTATATTTTTAACTTTTTAAAAAGAGGATTTCAAAGATAAAGTGAGTATAGTGTGTGTAGAACCATCTTCAAGCTTCAGAAATTGGTAGTTAGATGGGTGATAATCAAGAGATGAGAGGTTTGTGATTGCCTTGTAATTCTGCTGTCAGACCTATAGTAAAATGGAAGACACTTAGGAGTGCATGGCTGAGGAACAGTTTGTTGTACGTGGTGGTTAAGATTGTGAGTGGGCTTTTGAGTCGGGTATAAATTTGATTTCTATTTCCCCTACTTGTGTCACTCATATCTTTGGATAAATTACATTCTCTATGCTTATTTTCTTCTCTATAAAATGTGTATGGGAGAGTTCCCATCCCATGGGATTTTCTTTAGAATTATATAAGATACAATAAGCAGTAGTGTTCTTATAAAACATTGGTTGCAAAATACTAGAATTTTGCTTACTATATATGATACACACACACACCCACACACCCCCACACACCCCCACCTGTTAATATACAAATCCGAAGCAATTTACAAAACTTTGGTTTTGCTTTAACTTAAGGAATTATGTTGTGCATGTTCCTAGTGTAAGAAATTAACCAAGAAATAAATCATTTAGTCAAAATTCTCATTGAGGCTCATTTGAGGAATCATAAGATAATGGAAAAGATAACTGTCTAGGCTTAGGAGTCTGGCACTCACTGGCTATAGTCAACTGGTCTTATTTGATTTGTCCTTTCTATAAAAGGGAAATTATAACAAATACAATATTGTTGTAAACATGAAAGAGACAATGTATGTAATATGCCTGGTATGAAGTAGGTGCTCGGCAAATGCTGTCATTGTCCCACTTTGTTGTAAGAATAGCCAATAGAGTGTTGACATTTTTGCACATATTGCTACCTTCAAGTTTAGACAAATTAATTTCTAATCAAACAGTGTACAAAAAGTTGGTTAAGAAGTGCTTGCCTAATGAGGTTGCAAGGCACATTTGTGACCAGCCATATGTGTGTTTCAGAAACTTAGTGTAGAAGTGAAATAATCTTTTCCTAAGGAGAATAGAAATGTTGAGATGTGGCATGTCATTTTCCCTCAGTCTGCTGTTTACAAAGTACTATATTAAATGATGCAGAAGATGGTTTAGATATGTGCATCTAACTGTAAATCTATATATGTGTGTGTGAGAAAGAGAAAAGTTATGTAGGGTAGTAAATCAAAAGTGTTGGCCTGCTAATTGGTAATGACATAAGTACTTTCAGAGTTCAGAGATAGAAACAGCCTTTTGCTAATTGGATCCAAAGATGAGACAGTTTCATGGAGGAAGGGAAATTTTAGGCAAAGAACTGCCAGTTTTCCTTCTACCAAGCTATTTCTCACTATTCATCTTATTCTGGTTGATTTTTGGATACCCCACAGCTTTGAGTCCCAAATGCATATCTGTGGATAAGTCACCAAACATCAACAGTGGTCTTCGATGTTGGTCTCTGTGGCACAATGGTTGCCACAGAGTTAAAGTGCCATAACAGTTGACTTAGGTATTTCTGCCACCCTTAAAAAAAAAAAAAAAAAAAAAAAAAAAAAAACTTAGAATTTTAGATGCAAATAATTCTAACTAAAACCTGTCCTCCATGAAAACACAGCATACTTTTGGCAAGTGGCAGTAACTATTCAGAAACAACTTTCCCCTCTCAATCAGAAGTTAGGAAAGGGACATAGGAATTTTACAGATAAACCCTGAGTTTAGTGGATTCCAGTGGCTCTGGTGTGTTTGAAAATGAGCCTAATGACCAGAGTGATTTTTTTGTTTTTGTTATAAGCAAATGTGTAGTAACCTTTACTATGCAGGGGCACGGCTGAAAAATCTCTTTGCACCGTCAAAAATACATAGGAAGGATCAGTGCCTTCAAGAGACTATATTACATGGTCCTAGGAAGATAGCATCACTCTTTGGATCCCTTAATTAATTGCTTTATCTTTAATGTAAATGCTCAATTATACCTTTTAAACTGTTACAATGTTGCCTGGTAGGCAAGGTATAAGCATTTTACATGTTAATGCTACATAGTTTCCCATAGAAGTGAGGAAAGAAAAACAATACCTAATATTTTTGAGTGATTTTGTTTGTTTGTTTTTCTAGCATTCTAAGGGATAGTAGCTTCTATTAAGCCTTTTAAATCTCTTAAACTTTTGATCCTTTCTCATTTAATGGACATTCCCAGTTATTCTAATAATACCTCCTAATAGCATACAATTTTGTGAATTAAGATATTCTTTCTCATTTTTCTTCACTGTTGAATACATGTATTTTGGTAAAGGTTAAAGACATTAACAGAATAGAATTTTTTTTTCTGTTTTCCCGCAGTAGCAGATACATGTTTTTTTTTTTTTCTTTTTATAGTTGAAACTACCCTAGTAATTGAGTTAATACCTGGACTATGCTGAAAGTTTCAGTACCTGTGCCTCTAGAGTCCAAACACTGACCTTATTTTTTTACCGTTCTCTCTCTCTCTCTCTCACACACACACACACACACGCATATATGCATATATAAATAGTAAAGAAATTGACAATGGCAAGAGAAGTAAAGACTTCCAAAAAGTCTTACTTACCTGAAGATTAGAACTCTCTCCTTATGTGTGCTCCTGAAAGGCCTAGGAACTGGGTGGGCTAGAAAGGTTGAGGCAGAAGAAACAGTTGAAGAAAGGAAAATTGACCTATGCCTCCATCTCCTATTCAGTAAATAGGGAATTGTTCAGAGGAAGAAATGGGAGAATCCTGGTAAACACAATGCCTGACACTAAGCACTTAGTAAAATTAGTACTGTTATAATTTTTAGCAGGTTGGACAAAACCAAAATCATGAACATTGTTTGTTTAGAAGGTTGTTTATCTTAGTTTCCCTTGTCATGAAAATATAGAAGCAGAATATTCTGTGATTAAAATGGTAGTATATTGTATGATAGAACAGTCCAATATTGTAGCCTACCACTACATTGCAGCTTTTGTTTATATGTGGCCATTTCAGTGTCCCCATTTTACCTGATTATTCCTTTAAAAATATACATTTAGGACTTCTTAAACATGCCCTCTTATGGACTAAGGCAGAATTCTTGGTAATACCCAATCAGAACAATTAACATGAAACGCAGTTCTTAAATGTTGGGCTTGATAATGACTTTCCCACAATTGCTATTTTGGGTCCTTTCTTACTAGCCTGAGGAAATGACAAGATTGAGAAGCATGAACAGACAACTCCAGATAAATGTTGACTGTACACTGAAAGAAGTTGACCTCCTTCAATCTAGAGGTATAGACTTGATTATTTGGTAAACCATAAGTTAATAGTGTGGTATTTTTAAGCTGCGTAAATAGCAATAATTTTGATTTTGTAGATTTAAGAGACAATTTTTGTCCATTATAAGATTATAATCCTTATAAAAGAGATCACCCTTCCCCTTGCTCATGGATCAGATTTGGGGGATCAAAAAACGGTTTTACTTTGGCGATTTCATCATTATTCTTACCTAGAGTGTTTTATGTCATATCTTTGCATTTATTCCTCTTAATCTTACTGTGAATGTTTTATAAATCAATGGGTTTTAAGATATAGTACAGTTTAGTCAGTCATCTAAAATATCTGAAAAATATGGGGAATCCCAAATCAGTTTATCAGATGTTTCAGCTTTAAATACTCTATGCCATTTTTTTTTTTGATACATGAAGAGTTTTAGTGTTTTGATTTCTTACATTAGTATACTACTAAAGCAGCTCTCTTAACTTTCATTTACCCAGTTCACTAGATTAGAGACAGCCTTCATTCATTTCCTCTAGGAAATAAAGTGATGTGAGTGATACGCCCATGTACCATTGCTTTCATTGGTCAAATTGTCTGCTTACCATGAGTCAGTCCCCAACACTGTTTCTGCCAGTTACCATACTTCTGTAATGTAATGTTTCATAAGCTGAGATGAATCCAGAGAAAGCCTGTGTCTAAAAACCAAAGGCAAATGTTTTTTTAAGCCTCAAAGACAAAACACTGAAAAGATAAGGGCTATGATAGGAACTAAAATCATAAAAATCTAAAAGGATTCTCAGTGATTTATAGAAATGTCCTTAGAATCTTTCTTGCTCCATTCTAAAGAAATCAAAACAGAAAATTTACAGATCCGGGGTTTAGCAAACTATGGTCTGCTGTTTTATTTATTTATAAATAAAATTTTAGTGAAATGATAACTATCCCCATTTGTTTGTATGTTATCTATGGTTGCCTTTGTGCATCAGTGGCACAAATGCAACAGAGACTGTATTACAGGTCCACAAAGTCTAAACTATTATCAGACCCTTGACAGAAAAACTGTGCTGACCTTTGCTTTTGGTCACCCAGGGTTTGGTTTACATAAGATAATATGGAACTTGAGCCATAAAGAAAAGGTCTTTGTCTTAAACATTAAACTACTGCTATATCCATTTTTTTTACATTAAAGTTGATGCAGATTTTTCCTTAATGTTTTAGCCAGCCTTTTCCCTGAGCCCCCACAATTTCTCTTAATTATGGCAGCTAAGAGAGCTTCTATGATCTTTTAAGAGTATACAATATAATATCTCATTGCCACTTCTAGGCAAGACTGAACAGTAGAGGCAGGAGAACACAAACAAAATGGAACTGTCTGAACAATAAACAGAAAAATTGGACTGTGAAAGTTGAGCAATCTCGTCAGGTACCCTTGAAGTTATTTTCAGAAGCTTAGTCACTGTGTAGCCTGATAGCTTTAAGCAGTGAAAGATTTACTATGCATAACATGTAGGTTATAAAGACTCTTGCTACTATATCATAGAAATTTACATCTATTTTTTTTACTTGAGTGGTCTTTGAAGCAAAACAAGAAACATTTAACTCAAAAATTTGGTTAGGATTTATAGTAAACCTTATGGGATCTAGAAATTAGAATATTAGCTGTGACTTAAGGAATCAAAGAAATACATATGTAGCATTTTATCATAAAACATCAAATAGCATCATGGTATTTATGAGCTACCATAGGAATTGTTTACAGGAAATTCTCCCAAAACAAAACATATCCAAGTGGATAAACTACTTGTAATAGGACCTGCAAAGGGGGAACCACTATTAAGGTTTTGTAAGTAAAGAGCTGTGTTTTGGGGCTTTGTTGGGCAGTGACCTTGCAATGAGTTCTTTTTGGTACTGAAGCATTTCCAAGTCTTTACGTAAGGGGTCCAAACCTAGCTAATTTATACTGAATTGTACTTTTATACACTCTAGAAAACTTTTTATACCAGGTTGACCAAGTTTCCAGTCTGAACTTTCTTTTTGAGGTATAGTGGGTGGCATTTAGACTAGATACAAATCAGTGTATACATTGATGAAAAGTAACTTCATTGTTGGTTTTGGTAATAATTTTTGAGAAAAAAAGTCTAGAAATCAGGACTTAACTATTTAGTATAATTAAATTGTCGGTATCCTACTCCATCCTCTGTAAATAAACATAACAGTTAAACTTTTACTGGAATTGTGTAGAACAACCAGAGTAGAGAGAGAGAGAGAGGTTAGGACTCAAAACTGGCACTATATCAAAATGAACCTTGTAGGACTCAACACTAGTTGAAATGCAGACCAGTGTCTGTATCAGAGAATGAATATCTTAGGAGAAGTGAAAAATTTTGTGGCAAGACAGATTTCTCAAGGAATGTTCTATACTGAAATTGGCACCACATCATCTTTTATCATTGATAAATCATATGGGCTACATTAAATTTAATATTGAAGTTAAGATTATCCAATTTTGAAAATAGGAATCCATGAGCTGCTATTTCAGTTATCCAGGTCACTTAGCTATCTCAAAATATAACTAATAATTTTTTGGCCCCTTCCATAGGTGAATTTATAATGGATACATTTTTAAGGTAAATTATGAAAGACATGAAAGTGAGTCTTCACTATTTGTCTTCTCTTATGGTTTGTTCATTAAATTAAAACAGAATACAGGTCAGCCATCCTTTCGTTTCTTCATTTACCTCTTCAAATGCCCAACATGCTTAATCCTGCCTGAGGAGGACTAGCTTTACATTTAGAGAAATAGTCCTTCAGGTAACACATTGGAGACAAACACTGATGTGGTTTTCTCAGTTCTTTTTTCACAGTGATAAAGAAAACACAATTTCAGTGGGAGGACAGAATAGTATAATGAGATTTGAAACCCTGGAAAACATTCTCCCTTCTTATGTCTTTATATATTTTCTTTTTTAAAAAAAATCAAATAGCAGAAGAAAAAGTCCTAAATGCCTGGTTGATTTTATTTTATTTATAGGAAACTTTGATCCAAAAGCCATGAATAATTTTTATGACAACATAGAACCTGGTCCAGTTGTACCACCAAAACCATCCAAGAAAGGTAAGTAGGGACATGCCATAATCATTGTAGAAACAAATGACAAAATTCTTTGAAACTGAAGAAATTTCCGTTTGAGGTCATCTTTAGCTTGTTCATCATTAACAAAGTTACCATCTTGATGTTACCATAGCAAGGCAATAATGATACATCCCAAAATGTTAATTTTTTTAAAAGCACAGAATTGAATGGAATATATAACTTTATTGAAACTGTATTATATAATTAATGGTACAAAACAATAGGAATTTCAAAGGTCTAATGTTAAACTACAAAGTTAGATTTGTAATAGATCTGAGATTATTTTGTAGGCAACAGGAGTCCTTGTGTACTCAGAAGTTGAGCATAACAATTAGGGGAGGGGAGGGGTGTTTTCTTATCAAGGACAAAATAAATTCTATATAACAAACATTTTCAGATTTTTTTTATGTAGAAATGGTTTAATATCAAAATCTGTTTTATTTGAAATGCATTCTGCTGTCATGTACAACTAAGTAGAATAATTTTTTTAAAAAAATCTGTTCTATTTTTATGTATCAATGTTTACTCGGCATTATAGTATCTTAAGTTTAATCAAATTAATTTGAGTTATTAAATGTAGGTAACATTTCTATCCCATTATTAACGAACAGCCCAAGTTGCTTCATAATTATAGTTCTAGGCTGAATTGAAGTATACATTTCATATTTTAGTCCTTTTTGTTTTAAGCAGTTCAAACTATTGATTAAAGACATTCTGAAGAGTGAATATTTTTTAAAATTACTTGATATAACATTTTAAAATCTTAGATTTGTTTTAATTAAGCCATATATAAATTCCATCTAAATCATATAAACTAAGAAATTTTGATTAATAATTCACGACTGAGTAATGTTTAGATACCCATTTTTCAAGCCTGATATGCAGATACAATACCAAATTAACCCCACTAAGACTTTTTACCCCCCCTTTTGGGGGGGGGCAGTACTGGTGATTGAACCCTGGGGCACTGAATCACTAGGCTATACCCCCACCCAGCACTTTTTTTTTTTTTTTTTTTTAAGTTTTGGGACAGGGTCTCCCAAAGTTGCTGAGGCTGGCAATGAACTTGCAATCCTCTTGCCTCAGCCTCCTGAATAGCTGGGATAACAGCTGTGTTCCACCATACCCACTAAACTTTTTATTTAACAAAATTGATTCTAAATTCAAATGGAAATGCAAAGCAATCTTGGAAAAAAAAAAAAAAAAGCAAAAGCCAGAAACCTTAAGCTAACCAACTTTAGGACTTAACTATAAAGCTAGGGTAATTACAGTGTGATGCTGGCATAAGAATAAAGAAATTGAACACTAGAACAGAATAGAAAACCTGGATATAGATCCACCACTCAACTGTCAGTTGATATTTTGATAGAAGCAACAAAGCAACCAACAGAGAAAGGAAAATCTTCAACAAGCAGGACTGGAAGAACTGAATATCCTTGTGGGGAAAACACAAATTTTGATCTCTGCCTCACATCATCATCATAATACAAAAATTTTAATTTGTTGTTCATTCACCTAAGTGTTTTTAAACACTAAGCTTTATAAAGCTTCCAGAACAAACATAGTATCTTTGCTACTTGGGTGTACTTAAACAGGACACAAGAAGCAATAAACACAATTGATCAACAAACCTTCATTAAAATTCAACACTTCTGCTGGAGAGACTCTTGAGAAAATATTTGTGAAGTATGTCTGATAAAAGATTGGTATCCATAGCCTAAAGAACTTCTACAAGACAATAGTAAAGAGACAAAAAACACCCGACTTTAAAAAGCAAAAACATTTAATCAGACCTTCACAAAGGAATACACACGAAAGACCATATACAAAGAAATTTCTTGAGGCGACATGATGGATCTATTGCCAAGAGCCTGTTGAGTCCGAGTGGTGATTTTCTAGCAGTGGTAGTGATAGTGTCAATATGTCATTTTGTTTTCTGTCTCTGGGACCAACACCATGTAATTGAGGTAGGAGGTTCCTGTTTGGTATCCTACTTGGCTAGAAATTGTGCAAGGTTTGCATTAATATTCCATGATGTAGTCTCATAAATATCAACCTTCATCTAGCTCTCTACAAGTACTTGTACACTAAAAAGGTTTTTTTCGTGGCTTGTTTAATTCAAATAAAATTTGCTAAAGCCGATATTGGATAGTCCCATGAAGTTAGCTGTAATGGGTCCAGTTTCAACCCATTTCTTAAATATGTATCAGATGCTCATATGTAGATTAATTATACAGATGCTTGATTCTAAGACTCCTACCCTAAGCAGTTTCTACTCTATATGTACAGTTTTAATATAAAAGGCTAGAAAGACACCTAAAACATTTCACAATATTTTATTTTAGAAATTTGTTTTAATTATATACTAGCATAAGCTATTATAAATGTCAATAAAAAATTATACTATTTACCATAGTTTCTAAACTTTCACATTTTTTTTTCTGTTAAAATTTATAATAAAACTTGATTAAATTCTCCAATTTCATTGGAAGCCTTTTCATAACAGGTTTCTCAAAAGCTACTCATTTTTCTTTATGAATTCAAATTTGTTTTCTTTTAGGCACTTGCATATTTTCCCACTTTGTTTTTTAAACTAACATGGCCTTTGTAAAAGTACATCTAGTTTAGCACAGAATGATTGCAATAGTACTCAGTAACAAACCAAATGAATAAAATGCTCACAACTGGTAGAACTGGCATATTGGTTTGAATAAATGTCTTGGAGTTATATGCAAGAAATCCATATGGGATATAGAAGTTTATGTGCATAAATGTGATAAAGAGAAAAACAGGTAGAGAAGAGAGACAGAAAGGAAGACAAACTTTTTTGAATTGGACTTGGCAGTTAAGCAATACAGTGTGTATTACCCCTCAGGTGACTCAGCAAGTCTCCTCACTTCCCCATTGGAAACTCATACAGTGGTAAAAGCACTGACCTTGGCTTCCAGATGCTAAGTACTGATTCTGGTCATCTTAGCCACATGGCCTTGTTCAGCTCTAATCTGCACCACAGTTGATCTGTTCAAATATTTACCAGGATATTTTACAAAGTTTTTCTAAGAGTTAGTGACATGTAGGCATGTGATGCTGTAAAAGTGCTTTACAAAACCTAAGAAATAGAACTTTACCCTTGTTTGTTGGGGTCTATGGAAACATTGACTCTGCTCTTGTTTAATTCTGATAATGGAGTGTTGAAGTGTTTAAGCATCATGCTTAGAATTCTAGAACAGTGATCTCCAAAGGTGGGTTGCATTAGGGGATTGCACAGGGGCTCCAAACCAATTAGAAAATGCAATATTTTTCTTTGATTCTTAAATGCAAAAATAATATGAAGTCTGCCATTTTTCATTTTTACTTAATACAAAGATTATTTACTAATAACCTATTAATTCATAGAAACATTCTACAAGAAGTCAGGATACATACAATTATTGCCTATGTTGCAAAATGTCTGCTGCAGATGTGGGTAATTAGAATTCATGAAACAATTTGGGAGCACAGGTTGATCAGGACATAGTATTGAGTCGATTTTGACTTTAAGTACTATTATTCTTGCTCTTTAACTATAAAATCTGTATTTCATCATCATTATTGTAATAGTTAGCCTTGTATGGGTAGTCTGTTTTCACCCTATAATTTCCTGTTAATTATTGCTTAATTGGAGAATTACTGTATTGTAATCTTCCTAATTTTACTTCCACATTGACATTTCATTGCTATCACTGTTTGTACCCCTAATCCACTAACAAGTAGGAATCTGATAAAATAGGCCATTGGTTCTGGGTAATCAGAGAATGGAAAAAGTTGTAAGAGCCAGGTTGTGGCTCAGGTTGCAGTGCAGAATTAAATGTAGTATTTGCCCTCACAGGACAACTAAAGGTAGCATGAAGTGATAGGAAATGTACTCAGCTGTGTGGGTTGCAGGAGTAAACTTTGTGAGCCTTTTTACTCTTGCTAAAGAATCACTTGATCTCTTCTTACTGGCTTTGCTTTTTTCTTTTTTTTTCTTTTTTTCTTGCTTTTTTTTCCTTTTTCTTCTTTTTTTCTTTTTCTTTTTTCTTTCCTTTTTTTAAATAAACAGACTCCTCAGACCCCTGCACAATTGAGAGAAAAGCTCGAAGAATTAGTGTGACCTCCAAAGTACAGGCGGATGTTCATGACACCCAGGCAGCAGCTGCAGATGGTTTGTACTTGTGTGTCCAGAATGTCCACAGACACATGTTAACTTATGTAGAGTTACCATAAAAGTAAAACCAAACTTAATTTTTGCTTTCAAAAATTATTCCCTAAGCCAGGAATAGGGAGCACACACCTATAATTCCAACTACTTGGGAGGCTGAGACAGGAAGATTCCAAGTTTGAGTCTTAACAACTTAGCAAGACCTTAGAGATATAGCTGAGTGACAAAAGTGCCCCAGGGCTCAATTCCCAGAAACCACCCCGCTACCCTGCAAATTTTTTTCTCTATACAGAGTTAAATTTTAAGGCTATGCTGTCCAATTGAAATATATTGCAAGCCATGTATATAATTCAAAATGTTCTAGTAATCACCCTAAATAGTAAATAAAGATTAATATATTTTATTTAATCCAATATATATAAAATATTTCAATATGAAATCAGGGTAAAGTTAGTGATTTTTATCCACTTACAGTACATCTCAAATCAGACTCATCACCTTTCAAACACTCAGTGGCCACCATATTAGGTGGGTCAAGCTCCAAGGAAATAGCATATATAGAGAGCAAGGCCAAATAAACAATTTCAAAATGACTTGAAAGTTCTGGATTATTATGAACTTCTCACTGAAATATTCTAATGGTTTATCCTGGCATTCAGTTGAAATGAGATTTCTAAAAGTATTGTATATGTTTGTGTAAGTATACTACTTGCTAGTTCTTAAATTCCCCTTAATGCAGCAATTGAAACAAGAGAAATGAGCCCATCTTTCTTATGTAGTCAAAGGAATAGGGTAAAGAACCCAGCAATTTTTAGTCATTGTATAACTAAGACAACCTTCCCAATAGGGGCTGAGCCTTATCATAGGGTAAGGTTCAGAATCTGAACCTCAGTTCTCAGGGAATGGTCACACTAGTCATTTGCCATGAAAGACAAATTGATAACCCAGAAGTAAGCTAGTTAATTTTTAGTGGGAAATATGCTAACCCAGAACCATAACTGACAGAGCTTTCCCATATCTCAGTTTATTTTTGTTAACTATTTGGAAAGATTGCTTACCTTAGATCTTAATCGTATTTCCAGAACATAGTGAGGGTTTCCAGTGTCCTATAGGTGGACATTCCCAGCCTCTTGATCTTACCCCAGATTCCAGGGAAGATTTCATCAGGAAACCTTTAGCCTTCTCTTCACTCACCCTGCTCTTAATAGGGACTGTTCCTAAAAGGCAGGATTTACAAATGGACCCTAGAAGCAGAGCCTTTTTAAGTGTGATGATTAGGAAGAATGAAGATTCAACACGAATACAAGTTTCGAATTTTTATAAAACCTTGGAGGCCAACTTAAATTTGCCAGCATTTGATTTTGCCAATTATAGACATTTTTTTTCAAAACATATGAAGGACATTTGAATGCCAAAAAAGTAAGAAAGAATCTGGGAATAATAGCCTTTTATATTGAATGTAATTTGGCTTTCAGAAAAACTGAAGTCTATCTTTTCACTATTCTGGGGAAATTTTTCTTACGAACTCTCCCCTGCCATTTATGAACCATTAGTACAAAGCACATGTGTATTGGAGTTTAAATATCTCATGGGAAAAGGCACATATATCAGATATTTGCTATATTATGTGTATAGTAACAGAAAAAAAGTCAAAGTAGGCCGAGATTGTCAGGGAAGACATGTTTTCTTACATGTCCATTTTTTTTTCCATTTGGCTGGAATAAAGCATAAATATCCACTATCTATGAGTAATCTTTTAGGAAGATAATCTGTTCTGGACTTCTGTCCATCTTTTTTCATTTTGGCAGTGCTGGGGATTGAACCCAGGGCCTTGTGCATGCTAGATATTAGTTACATCCCCAGCCCCCTTTTTAATTTTGAGGCAGGGTCTTGCTAAATTGCCCAGGCTGGTCTTGAAATTGTCATCCTCCTGTCTCAGCCTCTCAAGCAGCTGGGATACAGGTGAGCAACACCACACTCAGCTTCTGTCTTATAGCAAAAAAAAAAAAAAAAAAAAATGGACTGTTTAGAACAAACTTTATATTTTGCATTCTGCTCAGTTATGCTTTTCTAGTAGATGTGCTTACTAAGTGCCTTACACATAAGGCAGAAAGTTACGTCCCTTGCTTTTTGGATTGTACTTGGGGGGAAAAAAACTTTATCTTTACCCCCCTCTCTCTTTAATCTTCACTTCCCTCAGAGAATCTAACTGGCTCCACACACAGTCCTCGGATACAACCCCGAGATGAAGACTACGAAGGGGCTCCGTGGAATTGTGACAGCTGCACCTTTCTTAACCACCCAGCACTAAATCGCTGTGAGCAGTGTGAGATGCCACGGTACACTTGAATTCAGAAGAGTTGGCACCAGGTTAAGAGTGAAACTTTTTGAGCACCATGAGAAAAGGAAACCTCAGGAGTCTATTCATCTGCCCAGCCTTTTCATTTTCAATTGCACAGGGGGGGGGTAGGAGGAGGAATGGCACTGTGGTCACTGTGCTCACAAAAGGAATATGGTGAGGTCTTTCTTTTTTCCTTTCTTAACTCATTGCAGAGTTAGAGGTAGAAAGGAATACTTGAAACTGGGGAAGGATTCACTCCTGAAAGAATGTACACAGAGCTAAGTCAAGAGCTCTTCTGTGGAATCCCAATTGTTAAAGTTACTGCTGAGTGGCCCTTATGTTTTTTTTGAAGTCAAACCTTGAATGATATTATGAAAAGTTAACAGTTTATGCAGACAAACTGTGAATTCCAGAGTAGGCTTACCTGGCCACAGCTCTCTGGAAAACCAAGGCTCCCTGTGCTTCTTCCCATGCTTCCTATGAAGAGAAGGACAGGAAAAAGCACCCAGAATATGATTTTTTTTTTGCAAAATAATAGAGATATTTTTAATTGCTGCTTTTTTTCAGGGGTAATTTCAAACACAAACAATATGTTTTAAAATGTGATTTGTAGCAGTCAGGAATTAGGCATATTATGCCCATCATTGGAAAGTACAATCAGAGGTGGTAAGATCCCTTTGGCTTGTACAAGGTTTCATCAAGCTATATCAACACTGGTAACTAAGACCTGATTATGCCATATAAGAGATATATTTTTAAGTTACTGTATGCTTTTATTAGGCCGTTTTAAAAAATAACAAATCCTTACAAAGTATGATTTTATAAATGACATTCTTGTAAAACTGCGCTTTGCCAATAGCACAGTGAATGTATGCCAAATGCAAGTCCATTCCAAAATCTATTTGGAAATCTTGAGCTCAGCTGTGGTTCTTAAGAAATGTTTGCAGTTCATAGGGCTTTTTTTTTTGCCTCCTTCCAATTTTGTGATGAATTCATGATGTTTACAGCACAGATAATACTTTGTGCCATAATCCTAATTTAGCTGAAGAAAAAAAATCAATATTAGCTGTTCAATAAAGATTTATTTACACATATGTAATAAACCAATGTGAGGGAAATTACAGTTGGCCAATATCAAAGTTGCACACTGCATTGTTTGGGGAGCAAGAAAAAAATGGTTAGGAAATATTGGATGGGGGTGTAGCTCAGTGGTAGAGCATATGCTTAACATGCACAAGGCCCTAAGTTTGACCCCCCCAGTACCACAAAAAGAAAAAAGATGAATACAAGAGTTTAAAATGAACAACTTTTTAAATAAAAGTGTTTTCAGAGGTCATATTGAATTTGTCCAGGCATCACAGCAACCTATGAAACAGAACTTCAAGGTTTGGATAACTGAAGAGATAAAATCATGTGACTCATTAGGGTGCATCACTGGAAATTTAATAGCACATCTAAATAAGGTCTCTGCCACTGTTCAGTTTCCTTCTTGGCTCAGAATTAATTTTAAAATCCAAACCCCTCATTTGGGTGAGTATAAACAGCAATAAAGTTGGTATATTTTCCCATTCTGAAGCATTTTGGCTAAGGTTATAACCTTAGGAATACCAGCAGGTACCCCCCTACACACACACACACACACACACCCTTTGTGTTCTCATTGTATTCTAATTTAGCAGTAATCTCTGGCAGGCCTGGAAAAACAAGCTGCACTTAATAGCATAATGAAACCAAAGGCATAACTCATCATAGTTTTCCATCAAATCATAATTTCATACTCTGCCTATAGCTTTGAAAACATTTTTTCATATGTGGAAAACTCCCCAAAATATGTCCACTCGTCTCCCAAAGTTAAATGTGGTTATGTAATTACACTGATAAAACATTTCTCATATAACAATTGTGGCAAAACTGTGAAAAAGATGGTGAGAAAGCAGACAGGCTTTAAAGCATGGACTTGAAAACAGTTTTTTTTTTTTTTTTAAACAGACTTTTGTAACACTGGTATCTGTCAGTCTCCAACAACAGTCCAGCAGTCCTACTATCCTGTAAGATTCCTTTGCCTCTGTGTGGTTTTGTATCATGTTGGTGGTGGTCAACCCCACTTGGTGTTAATAAACAATTTAGGGGGACAAACCTATATATACTGCTTGGTGTTCTAGCTAAAAGGTTTACCAGTATTCATAATGATACGCTGAAGTGGCAGCAATTAACTTGGCAGTTGTCAGTTGAAATGAAAGTAGCATGTTTGAAAATAGTCAGATGCTTTATTAAAACCATGTAGATGACTTTTAAAACTATTGCATGAAAATACATCCAGGTTAATAAGCTGTTATCATACAGTAGATGCATGGTTTCAGTCCTTTGATGACATATCTAGTCAATCATTGCTTTCCTGCCAGGAAAAATGAGAAAACAGTCCATTTGCTAGGTGTGGAAGGTGGGGTATGAGATATCAGAGATTGATTTTAAGGAAGTTTTGTACATGCCAATTTGTGATTGTGCACAAGTTTCATCTGCCAACTTAGGCCGTATTCAGTTTTTTAAAATATGCATATTGTTTGACACTGATAAATTTGCTATGTTTAACTGTATCCCATAGACTTCTTCTTGCCTATGACCAGATTGAGTAAGAATCCACCCAGCTTTCAAGGTATCTTTTCCAAAGGATCTCCTAGTCAGATTGGTATGCATAAACAATTGGTAGGAATTAAGTTGGGTGATGCCTAGCCACTGAGGCACCTACGCCCTTTGGTTGAGTTGGTGCACTCCTTGTTTCTTGTAAGAGATTTGCTTTCTTAAAATACAACTGGTTTGATATATCTGGTAACATATAGACCTGACTATACATTTTACATTATTTCACCGTTTCGTAACTGGGTTTTTAGAAAGCACGTTTGCCATTCTGCTACAGTACATTGCCCCTTAAATTTTGGAGTTCTTAAAAGTTTAAAGTGGTAATAGAGGAGCCAGAAACTTTCTAAGCATTGTAAAATGTTGATATTGAGCTAGTTTGGGAGAGAGTAGAGGCAGGAGATTTTAAAGAAACAAAAGAAATGCATTGTAAAAATGTAGTTTTAGAGCAGATTAATGATGGTGGGGAAAGTGTTGCTAATTTGTTTATTTCCCTGGAAGAAATGGGAAGTGTGATAAGCAGTTTAATTTTTAAGGAGCTGGTCTCAATTTTAGTACTTTTTAATTATAAATCGATGTTTCCTTAAATTTTGTCATTGCTTTGTCACAATTATCTAGGGTTCATATCCAACTTTCTGTGGCAACTCAATTTTATATAGTCTTTTAAAAGGTAATTGTAATGTCTTGCTGACAGTATAAACAAAAAGCAAGAATATAAGACATAGAAGAATTGTTCTTTAAAAATTATCAATGATGTATCCTGGAATGTGAAGATGTCCCTTTATAGTTAAAAATTATTTTAATATTGTACCATTGTTAGACCTTGAATGAGTCTATGTTACAGTGTGTGTATGTATATCTGTAGAGAAAGGAAAATGACAAGTGAAATGCTACTTTAAAAAAATCAAAGTTGGGCACTGTCTGTGTTGCACCACTACTGTATCTTTTTGAAAGAATTAACAGTATTTTCCTATTGTGAAAGTTAATTCTGATGACGTTTTCACATTCACCAGAAATTTTTTTTCTGTATTATTTGCATCCCCAAATATTTAATACAAGTAGATTTTGCATGGCTTGGGCATTCAGAGATTTATAGAATGATGAGTCAATTTTAATTTCTAAAGCCATGAAAAGTTGCTTTGAGACTGAGCAATTCTGAATTCTTATTTATGAGAACACGCAATGTCCATGTTTCTTTCCCTACTGTAAAGGAATTGATCAGTTTCTTCATTAAAGCAGCAAGAACTTATTAAATCTTGTAAATACCATGTCTCTTAGATTTCTGTGTATGCTGTGAATGAAATTATTTTGAGATGAAATTGTACAAAGGCATTTTAAAAGGCTATGCATGCATCGTACTTCCAAACAGTACATATTCAGAAAGTCAAAAGTTTCCTGAAAAATAAATTAATAAACTAAAAGCAAACACTACATTCTGCATCTTTTCTGTATAGTTAGAAATAATTCATAATATCAAGCTAGTTCTAGTTCTAAACATTTCTGGATGCACTAACTTAACTATCACATTTCATCTTCTTAGAACATTAGTAATGTTAGACGTGGGTAAGTATTAAGTGCATATTGTTCTGACTTGAAAATTTGTGGGCGAGTGTGTGTGTGTGCGCGCAGGTTTTTATAAGTTGGAACATGTTAGAAACTTAATATTTTTTTCATTCCACTTAATGTTATTTACCAACAAACTATTTTTCTTCTTTACATTTTTTTCCTTTTTGTAGTACTGGGGATTGAATCTAGGGGCACTCTACCACCGAGCCACACTCCCAGCCCTTTTTATTTTTATTTTGAGTCTACATCTTGCCATGTTGCTCAGGCTGTCCTGAAACTTGGCAATTTCCTATCTCAGAATCCCTAATAGCTGGTGTTATAGGGCCCCACCACTGCATCTAGCTATTGATATAATTTGTAATTAGTTTTCCAAAGGCAAACAGAGGTTCTGTCACTTACCTTGCCTAGGGTCTGAAGTAAACCTTCCCAACTTTTTGCACAGAAATCACCACAGATGAATTCTATTAGACAACTCTTTTGTGATTAAATACATTTAAAAATCATTTCTAGGGCTGGGGCTGTAGCTCAGTGGTAAACCACTTGCCTCGCATGTGTGAGGCGGCACTTTGTTCAATCCTCAGCACCACATAAAAAAATGATATTGTGTGTCCATCTACAACTAAAAAAATGTTTTTAAATCATTTCTACATTTTATATACATAAGTATAGAATTGTATAATGATACCCCATTTATTCATTACCCAGCTTCCAAAATTAAATAGACATCCTTATTTCATCTATATTCTTATCACCTCTCACTTTTCCCTGGATTATTTTTAAATAAATCCCAGACATCAGTTCATTTGGAAATACATTTTAACATAAGCACATTGTACTCATCACACCTTATAGAATTACTGCTGTTTAAATATTGAATATCCAGTGTTTTAAATTTCCCAAGTCTCACACATTTTTAAAAATAAGGTTTCTCAAATTATAGTATAGATGGAGTACTTGAAATTTGTCATGTCTCACAATGTGCAGTATGTGTACATGCATGCACATCCTCAGAGTTTTCTTCTCTCCCTGCCAGGAAACCAGTCATTTATTAACTGGAATATCTTCTAAGGAAAGTTTTCTTCATCACCTATTTAGTTATACTCTACCACATCTTACAGTTAATGCATACACTAAATATCAAAGATAACTTTAAAAGTAGTAAAGTGTTTTTAACTCCAAATCAATTCCCACATCCTAGGTTGCCTTAAGCAGTTGAATTATTTTTAGTTACTTCAAATGTTCAGTTAGCACAGATGTGGTTTGCTGTGGTGTCTGTTTTGTAGAGTTATCTGTGAGGACTACATTATTTACCTTTAATTCCTGTATCCATATAATGATTTATTTAGAAATTGACCAGCTCAGTTTTCATACAGAAGACTTGGGGGACTGTTGTGTGGGAGATGCCCAGTGTTTGTATCCCACCTGTATTCCTCCAAAGACTTCCTGACTTTGTCCTATTGGCCTTTTTCTAGAACATAGAACAGGTAATGTTTTATGATGGAGATTTTTAAGATAGTATATACAATATGTGGAGGGTTATTGCTGAGGGTTGAACCCAGTGGGGCAAGCATGCTAAGTAGATGCTCAACCACTGAGCTATATCCCCAACCTGTGGTTGAGATTTTATTTTGCAAAATTGTGACCAATCAAATCATCTCACTTTTCCTGCCTTTTGAACATTGGTGAATATATTTTTCAAATTGCCACATGTGGCAGGGGACTCTGATTTCAAGATTGCAATTTTAGTTTCTCTTCCCAAATTCCACTGAAACATTAAAAAAAAAAACATTTTTAAGGATTGGAAAACAGGGAAGGGTACTCTCAAGGGGTCAGAAATGACAGGAAGTTGATGGATGTATAGAGGGCAATAGCAACTGCTGTCAACCAGGCCACAACTCTAGCCATGAGTGAAGGTCAACCTGCAAAGCATGCCTTTGGGATTCCCCAATAGGACCCATGAAGATCCCCAAGCTCTGAACAGTGAGCAAATAGAATCTAGACAGAAAGCATGTAGATTGCATTTGCTTCCTGACTCACTTGGCACCACAGTTCACTAAAATAAGGAAAACAGTTACTGAGAGTTACTTGGCCACTAGTTAAGGGGCATAAGGCAACAAGTAACTTCAGGCTGCCACGATGAACACAGATAAAAATCTTGTTTGGTCCCCTGAGGATTCCAGGAAGAGGTTTTCAACCCCACAGTAAATACTGAAAACAGTACTCACTGTCTACTGTTGAGTGGCCAAAAACAAATGCTTAAAAGGTATTGAACTTCCCAATCTTCCCAATACTTTGTAATCAAGTAATTTCCAACCAAGTGATATATAAAACTACCAAAGTAGAAAACTTGTTTTCAGTTTTGTTGGATATTAATATGATGGTATCAAACTGAAAAGCTTCACAGTGATGGAAACAGTCAAGAATGTGAACAGAGAGCCTACAGAATGGGAGAAAACTTTCACCACCAGTACCCCAGATAAGGCATTAATTTTCAGGATATACAAAGAACTCAAAAAACCTAACATCAGAAAAATAACCCAGTCAATAAATGGGCAAAGGAAATGAACAAACACTTCACAGAAGAAGAAATATGAATGGTCAAAAATACATGAAAAATGTTCAACATCCCTAGCAATTAGAGAAATGCAAATTAAAACTACACTGAAGTCCTGGGGTTGTGGCTCAGTGGTAGAGTGCCTGCCTGCCTGGTGTGTGTGAGGCACAGGGTTCAATCCTCAGCACCACAAAAAAATAAAGGTATTATGTTCGTCTACAACTAAAAAATATTTTCTTAAAAAACCACACTAAAATTCCATCTCACTACAGTCAGAATAGCAATTATAAATAATACAAGTAACAAATGTTGGCAAGGATGTGGGAGAAAGGTACTCTCATACACTGTTGGTGGGAATTGGTGCAACCAATCTGCAGTATGGAGATTCCTTAGAAAACTTGGAATAGAACCACCATTTGACCCATTTATTCCACTGCTTGGTACGTACCCAAAGAACTTAAAAACAGCATATATAATGATACAGCCACGTCAATGTTTATAACGGCTCAATTCACAATAGTCAAGTCACAGAAATAACCTAGGTGTTCCTCAATGAATGAATGGATAAAGAAAATATGGTATATATTTGGGAATATTTATTACTCAGCCACAAAGAAATAATGGCACTTGGAACTGGAGAATATCATGCCAGTCCCAAAAAAATAAAGGTTGAATGTTTTGCTGATATGTGGAAGTTAACCCACAAAAAGCAGGAAGAAGGGGAGAATAGAAATTCAGTAGGTTAAACAAAGGCGAATGAAGAGAAGGCATGGGTATAGGAAAAGTAAAGACAATGGAATGAACCTGACATAATTTTCCTATGCACATATAAACACCACAGTGAATCCCACCATCATGTACATCCACAATGGACTCCTAGTTAGAATAGGGTATAATCCATGTTTGTATAGTTATATAAAAATGGACTCTACTGTCATGTATAACTAAAAAGAACTAATAAAATTAATGTATATCCAGGAAATGTGATAAGGAATACCAGAGGGAACAGACAGTGGATATAGAAGAAAATTGTGCCATGATATGTTAGCAGCAACCCCATACAACTCATTCACTACATCTCAATTACATTAAGAAGACATCTAAGTTTGTGGAAGTATATTCTATGATCTTTGCACAATAACAAAAGCACCTAACAACACATTTCTCAGATCATATTCCTGTTAAGAGACACATAACTATATAGAGACATGGGGGCAGGAGGGTTGAGAAAATATTACCTACAAGGGTAAACAATCCAGGTGATATCAGAATTTTCCTAAGTCTTTGTATAGAAGATACAATTCTCTTATTTTGATGTGCAAAATAGACTTAATGGTATTATGATTAACTTGGTTAATTCTCTATATATTGAAACTTTATATTTTGTAAAAACTATTTTTCCTAATATCCACCAAACATTTACACACAGAAATCAAGAAAATCCCAATTTCAAAAACAATTATACAGGCCATATTTTTTTTTTACCATAAGGTATTAAATCTAGAAGTTAGTAAAATGAATCAAGCCATCTGAAAACTTAAAAAGCTCTTCTAAACTCTTGATTCAAAAGTGGAATAAAACAGATTGGTTCAGGCAAATTCTCAAAAAGAGGTTCTAGCAAAGACATTATCTCAAATTAAAAAGACTTTCAACTCCCCAAATAACAGAATGGAATAAGAATACTATATCCTAGTGACATTTCAGAGGCTGCAAATTTTGAATTATTTCTAGATGGAAATAAGTAATCCACACCTATAACAGAACAAGTCACATGAAATGACAATTCAGAATTCAAAGTGATGTCTCTTGGGGAAATATTTCCAGCACAAGATGTCTCTGTGGCAACTCTTAACAGTGAAATGGGAAAATGGGGGTGGGGGGTGGGAAATCACAACTATATGCTAAGAGAACACTCTTAAGATGGCCATGTCAAGAATCTTTACCAGCCAGAAAGCTCTGAGGAAGAGTTGATAGGGCAGAGTGGTGGGAGGGGAAGGGAGAGGGCATGGGGTAATTAATGATGGTTGAATGTGATGATCACTATTATCCAAGGTACATGTATGAAGACACGAATTGGTGTGAATATACTTTGTATACAACCAGAGATGAAAAATTGGGCTCTATATATGTACTAAGAATTGTAACGCATTCTGCTGTTATATATAAATAAAAAAAAAGAAAGGGCTGAATCAAAATCATTCCAAGGCCAAGATGGGATATAACCTGTGGGAAAGTGTTTTTAGACGTGAGCAGCTTTAAGAAGGCACATAACTACTCACAAAGGAGTCAAACTACATCTGCCACTTGGGTG